TCCAGGACTACGCGTGCGCCTACCTAGATGTGGCATCTATAGCGATACCTGGGAGGCACAACTGGAACACGTAGGGATAGTATTAGATAGGATCAGGGGGGCCGGGTTAACCCTGAAACCAGACAAGTGTCATTAGGGTATGGCGGAGGTACAATATTTGGGCCACCGGGTAGGGTGTGGTAAACAACGGCTGGAGCCGGCTAAGATCGAGGCCGTTGCCAATTGGCCCACTCCCCACACCAAGACACAAGTCATGGCTTTCTTGGGAACAGCCGGCTACTACAGACGCTTTGTACCAGACTATAACGCCCTGGCCAAACCCCTGACCAACTTGACCAAAAATAAGTTACCCCGACAAGTCCTGTGGTCCCCGGAATGCGAGGTGGCTTTCCAAGCGTTAAAGAATGCTCTTGTTAATGCTCCGGTGTTCACTACCCCAGATCCTAATAAAAGATTTATTGTCCACACAGACGCTTCAATGTTTGGACTGGGGGCAGTATTAAGCCAGATCGGAGAGGATGGAGGAGAACACCTGGTGGCCTACCTGAGTCGGAAGCTGTTGCCAAGGGTCCGTTATGCAACTATTGAAAAAGAGTGTCTGGCATTGGTATGGGCTCTCAAAAAACTCACGCCTTACCTCTATGGTTGGGCCTTCACCCTCATTACCGATCACAATCCTCTGGTCTGGCTCATCCGGGTCTCAGGGGATAACGTCCGTTTGCTGCGCTGGAGCCTTGCCTTACAACCCTATGACTTTACTATCCATTATCGCCCAGGCAAGCAAAACGGGAATGCCGATGGACTGTCACGCCAAACTGACCTGGCCTCGGACTAAAACTTTGGAAGTTCCCGTCAACTCTACTGGACCAGGAAAGGTCCAACCGTGATTGTCGGAGCAGGGAGAAAAAGGGGGGCCATTGTGAAGGATTTCCTGTACTTACGTGTATTGCCTTCAGTTGTGGCTTCTCCCTGCTGTCCAAATCCTTGTGAAATGTTGTTTAAGTATGTGTTAAAAAATTGTATTCGTCTACTGAACGAGAGACCACCCGCCCTGGGTAGCAATCAGCATTAGAACGTGGAGAAAACCGCGACTTAATTGCTCCTAGGTGGCCGCCATTCGACATACGAACACATGGCGAGAACAAAGGATGGCAGCCATCTTAAAACTCACGAACGCGGTCAGCGGGGCGAACGTATGAATTGCCTGGAACTATTTTCAGCAAGGCAAACATGCGAACGCCCGGTCTTCATGGAAGTCCTGGATGAATACATTCCCCTCCACGAATCAAACTGGCATTTGGTAGATAGAATCTACCGAACGAGGGGAACATTCGTATGTAACACGTTTTTGTGTAGTTGGACACGAACAGAGACCGACTCTTGCTACTGATTTTATGGAACTCTAGCTCGGATACCTCTACATGGCGAGCCGGTCAAACTTCTACACGATGCGACACGGAAACTACCGAACGGAAATTCGTGAGATTTGGATATATGACTACCAGTATCCTCAACTACCCAGGGATGTTAAAATTATAGTTGTAAGTATTATGAAAAGTACTTTTCTGAAATTGTTAAAAATTATAATGTTTCTGGCCAGCAGATAATTGAGCTTTGTGTATTGCTGAAACTCAATTATCTAGCCTGGCCCAGAGGAAGAGTTTTGTATCACATAAATTGTATGTACTGTGTGCCAGTAAAATCAGTCTTGTTCCAGCATTAAGCTTTGGCTCATGTGTGGATTATTCGGCGATTCCAGGGATATTTCTTCTTGTGGAGTATTGGGTGATTTTCTTTTATGGGAAGAAGGGAATGCATGACGGTGATACCGTATACTACCGTCACATATAAATTGAATAACACTCCATAGCAAGTCATTACAGATTATACGTTTTTTTTAACACCGGTTTCCCATTGATCCCAGTGATGTTTTAATTGTGCAAATATGTGTGAGTTGCTTCTGTGAGATAATTTGAATGATTTATTTTCTAGTGTCAGCTGTAGTACTTCTTTAATTGAGGGTGTGTGTTTAGTTTTCCAGTATCTAGGCAAGCATGTAGTAGCAGCTATCAGAATGTGGCCTATTATTATTCTATTAATTCTGTTGACGGATTCAGGGAATTTTTTGAATAAAGCTAAATTGGATGTGAAGCTATCTATGTTACTGTCCATCTTAATGATCAAGTCATGTATCATTTTCCAATATTTAGTGAGTCTTGGGCAATACCATCATATGTGGGCCATATTGCCCAAACCTCCGCAGTCTCTTCAACATTGATCACTGTACATATTGTTCATATTGTGCAACCTGGACGGAGCTAGATACCATCGATACAGTATTTTAAAATGGTTTTCATGATGGTTAGAAAAAAAAAGATAATCCCTTCAACGCTGAAAAAAAACTAAACCACTCCTTCAACTCATATTGGGTACCCAGCTCTGTCTCCCAAGACAGCATGTGCTTCAATTTAACTGTTGGTTTGTCATTGTGTAGTAAATAACATATAGATATTTCGCCCTTCCTGTTCGGGTCATGTAAACACAGTTTTTCTAATGGCGATATTACTAATGATTTATAGTTCTTATCAGTGTCTGGTATGTTGTACAATTCTTTCAGCTTCTCAATTACCAACCCACATTCGTCCTTACATTCATTCGGTAATCCATGCTTAAATTGTAACCTTTCATACGACAAGATAGAGTTTCCATGGAAAAAGTTATCTATATTATACAGGTGGTGTCCCTTTAGTCATTATAAGTCCAAAGATGGCATGTAATGTCTTAAAGATTCAATCGGCATGGCTCTATACAATTTTACTGAGTGGCATTATTCTTAAACACTATATCCCAGGCTTTAAGTGTAGTTTTAGTTGTCAGGAACAATTTAGTGATTCTAGGTCTTCTTACATTGCTAAACCAGGGTAGTTCCCTTAGTTGGGATGGGAGAATGATGGATTCCTCTATCTCCATCCATCTCTGCCTATTTGTTTGACTGTTAAAGCTTACAGCCACTGCAGCGTTAGTGGCAAAATAATACTTTCGGATATTTGGGACACCAATATCCCCATGGAGTTTATGGTACTGCAGGGATGTAAGCTTAATTCTACTAGGTTTGTTATTCCAAATAAATTTTAGCATTATAGAGTGTACTTTATTGAAGAAGGAGAGTGGGATGGATAAAGGGATAGTTCTAAAATAGTATAAGATTTTTGGAATGATTGACATTTTTATGGAGGCGATTCTCCCTAACCATGATAGCTCCATCCCACCCCATCTCTCCATCTCTTTTTGTAGGCCCGGCCATGCTCTCTTTAAGTTGTGAATATGCATATTAGGCAAATTTTTGCATAGATTAATTCCTAAAAACTCTAAGTATTCCCTCCTCCAATCAAATGGATATGATGATCTTAATTCGTCTGTGTCAAGTTTATTCAGATGGAAGGGGAGCACCTTTTTTCAGGGTTTTACTTGGGGGGGGGGGCGACGAGACCTTAAACCAGCGATGGCAAACCTATGGCACGTGTGCCACAGCTGGCATACCGAGCCCTCTCTGTGGGCACGCAGCCATAGGTCGCCAGGGGCCTGCGCCTACTCTGCTTTTGTATCGGTGGGTGGGATTCATTGGCGGATCCGGGGGTTGGGGGGCAACAGGACAATGGCCCCCCCCCCCCGAGAAATTATGATGCCAAACGATTTCACTTGTAAGGGGCCCAGCAAGCTCGTAAATATAATCCCTTTTCCCAACGACTGGACGACACACAGTTTGGGAGTCAACTGAGCTTTTATTCCACCACAACCATTTATATACAAGTCCCCATGCAAGGTGTTTCCTCACTGACATGCCAGGGGTTTTCCCCCGGTGGACTCTGTGGAAAACTTCTTGTGCAGGGATATCTCCCATCATGCTTTTCTGTACTGGAGAGATAATTGTGTAAGAGTGCACCTTTAATTACATTATCTCTCCGTACAGAAAAATATACAATATAACATAAAAATACATAACTTGTACAATATTCATCTGAACTTCCCGAAAGACCCTTCATTGAATGGCTGGGATCTGAGCGCACCATCAGGCGAAATACCGCTCAGATCCGTTTGTTAGAATAGGAAAGCCATTCGAATGAAGTTATGAACCGGTCAATTCACTGAACGCTGCTCTATTTACACGAAGGTAAAGTAGTCATTCGAAAGGCATGGAAGTCCAGCGGTGTTCGTGAGGTTGAGTAGCCGATTTTATTTTAAGGCACTCGACGACCAAACACCGCTGTGCGTTTGTATTGCGGTTTAGGCACTAAAAACTAACCTGCAATTAGGGCACTAATGTGTTAGTAATACAAGGTACACCGTAGGCACTGTATCTGCTTCATGTAATTAATCTGGTTATAGTGTCTGGAGTCCCCTGTTGCCATTATTTCATTTAGCACATGGATGTCAAACTCGCATGCGGCCCACAACTAATCTGTTTGCGGCCCATGGGCCGCGGCGAGGGAGCGCTGAGTGTAAGCTCTCTCTGCTCAGCTTCCCACAGCGATGCCGGGAGCTCGAATATGACGTCACATTCCGGCTCCCGGAATCACTCTGCGGCGCGCAAGGGAGCTGAGCAGAGAGAGCTCAGGGGAAAGTGCTCCCTCGCTGAAAATGCCTTTCCGCCCAGCAGACCCACTAACCCAGGTAAAAAATCCACCCAGCTCTCCCAAATGTAGGGAGGCTCGTGGATTTAAATTAAAATAATTTTAAAAAGAAAGTGTTGGGGGTGAAATGTATGTTTGTGTGTATGGCTGTCCGTGTGTGTATTGCTGTCTCTGTGTGTATATGGCTGTCTGTGTGTGTGTGTATGGCTGTGTGTTTATGGCTGTCTGTGTGTATTACTGTTTCTGCGTGTGTATTCTTGTCTATGTGTGTATAGTCCAGTCTGAGTGTGTATTTCTGTCTGTGTGTGTGTGTATTCCTGTCTGTGTATTGCGGTCTGTGTGTATGTATTCCTGTCTGTGTGTGTGTGTATTGCTGTATGTGTGTGCCTGGCTGTCTATGTGTGTGCATGGCTGTCTCTGTGTGTGTGTATATATGGCTGTGTGTGTGTGTCTGTCAGTGAGTCTGTGTGTGTGTATGTCAGTGTGGGTCTGTGAGGGAGCCTGTGTGTCTGAGTGATTGTGTGTGTCTGTGAGGGAGCCTGTTTGTCAGTTAGTGTGTGTCTGTGAGTGAATTTGTGTGTCTGTGAGTGCATGTGTGTGTTGGAGTGATTCTGTGTGTGTGTGTGTGTATGTCTGTCAGTGAGTGTGTCTCAGTGAGTGTGAGTGAGAACAGGGGCAGGGATTTAGTAGACGGGGGACTGGGATTTAGTAGGCAAGAGGGGATTGGGATTTAGTAGACGAGGGGGGACTGGCATTTAGTAGAGAGGTCGCTGGTTTTTTTTTTTAAACTGTACTTTTCAAAATAAACCTAAGTTTCTATGAAAATTTTAATTTTTGTTTTTTTGCGGCCCACTTAAACTTAAACCTTGTTTATTTGGCCCTTGCTAGCCTTTGAGTTTGACATGCTTGATTTAGCAGTTTTTATTTTTTAATACCAAACGAGAATCCCTAGAAACCTATCCCCTCTGTGCTGTTGGCAGCTGTGATTGACTGAGAGTGTCAGCTGACTGCTTTTAACCTATCAGAACTCCCATTGGTAGTATGAATGGGCATGACTACAAGGAGGTGTGTAATCTCTGCCTTAGCCACACCTTCAGAAGAGGTCGGACTGTGGGTGACCAGGGACACATATTTAGCGTTAAACTGCTCGAACATGGTTTAACTCTAAAAGGTGGAACAGTGCCAGGGGACTCCAGGCACTATAATCAATTCAAAGAGATGAAATAGTTACAGTGCCTACAGTGTCCCTTTAATAACAGGGAAAAACTCACATTGAACACAAGGGAGAAAATGCACACTACTCTCTGCATCATAACCTTTGCAATGATATGAAGTTGTTATGGTCCATAAGGTGACCTTTTATGTTTTGGGAATAAGGCGGTTCTTTCACGTTCTGGGGTCTTTGCAAAAATCCTGCCATGACCACCCAGTGGATCCTCTTCAGCTCCTGGCACTGTGTCAGTGCAGTACCCTTGCATATGCGAGAGAGTACAACACTGATGTCTATGGAGGATCCCACAAGAGAGCGGGAGCGGCAAAAGACGATGCCTTTTTGCTCACAGGGTAATGATAAAGCTTGATGTAACTCCGCCTTGCATATTTTGTCAAGAGTAGGAAAATTGAATGAGACAAAGTAGTCCCTACTTTGTTTTGATATCTTTAGTGTGCTTTGTAATTTCAGTGAAATTCCAACACAGTCAATGTAAGTATTTAATATTTTTTTTTCCTTTAGGTATATAAATATTTTTTTCTTTTTTGGGGGTGGGAGGGTGTGCATGGTTGTTGGATAATAGAGCTGCATTGAATGCAGGTTGCCAATTTAAATAAATACTTAAGTTTTATTTATTTTTTTGCTTACAAATACCTCAACTATATGGCTATAAATATATATTAAAAATAAAAGGAAAATGAAACCTCTCACTAGGTGAACCATCATATTAAAATATACAGTGTAGGCTTTTGGTAGCTAAGGTATATATTAATGAATACACCCACATTCAACTACTACCAACTTGTGAAAACCCATTAACACATTTACCGAGTGGTGTGGGAACACAATCTCAGAGGATCACTGAATCTGATATAACACCCTTCTAAAACGAACCCATATACGTATTTCCACACATTATAAGCCAGTACATATAGTATGGATAAGGTGAACATTAACCCCCACACATTTGTAAAATACATCCCGCAGGTCAGCATTGATTTAGTCCCTGAGTGATAAAATGTGAGGTACTGCAGCAGTTAGCAGGCAATGAGCACACAATGAACCAGCCATGTTATAATGCATGGTATAGGGGGTGATATAATAATAACCTGTTAGAGCCCCTCTTTGGGCCAGCTGTAACAGATAGGAGGCAGACTGGGTACTTATAGTATGATGTTGATCAGCATGTGCAGTCCCCAGGGACTGGCTTCTCTTTGTTCCCATTGTGTCTCTCTCTCTCCTCTCTCTTTGCATTAGTGGGAGGGAGCCCGTGTTCACATCAATATTCCCAGTGCTGACAGGAGGCGCATCCAGTCCGGGCTGTGTGAAGGATGCTGCAGCCTGCTCTCCACTACGGCAGCCATCAGATACTCTGACTGAGCGAGGACAGTTCAGACAACCGAGGCAGGAGCACCCGGGGCGGTTTGCTAGGGGAGGACGGACGGACGGACGGACAGCCGGTGGGATCTATCTTGCGGCCATGGCGGATGTGAAGTGCGGCAGTAACGTTGGCTCTCCGGCTGCCGCCAATGGTCTGGTGGCGAACGCGGAGCTGGAGGTGAAGAAGCTCCAGGAGCTGGTCAGGAAGCTGGAGAAACAGAACGAGCAGCTCAGGAACCGAGCCAGCGCCGTTAGCAACTGCACGGCCAGCCCGCACCTGCTGCTCCCGCAGCCAGCCCCTGCCCTGCACCAAGCGGGCACCTGCCTGAGCCTGGCACGGCCTGCCAGCGGACTCTGCCTGCCCAGCCCCGTGCCCACCCTGCTCTGCACCTCCACTGTGGGCGGCAGCCTCTACCCTCCGGAGGGCATCGGCTACTACAGCTCCAGGCAGCCCTTTTCTTGCATGAGTGTGGCTGAAGGACCACAGCAACCTGTCCATTCTGCCACCCCAGGGGCCACCACCAGCATGCTAGACGAGGTGGAGATTTTGGACCTCGAAGATGGGTATTGCAGTGATGATGATACCTGGTAATAATACATCTCTCAATCATACAGTAAACATGGGGGTGTGTGGGTTACCATGAACAAAACACACTGCTCAATAGTCCATCTGCAGAGCCATTCACCAACATAGGGGATATTAGGGAATGGCTATGAGAGAGCCCCCTCAGCTATTGCAATTCTACCTTCTGATTGCCCTTGCATTGGATGCTTCTAGTAACACTCCCCTAGGATCCCTTTAGCTGGAATGGATGCAGCAGATCCGTGCTTTGCATGTAGATCAGGTTGCAGTGATTGCTCTGTGACTGCTGCCTGGCTGGGTACAGGGATGTGCCATGGAATGTCAGCGTTTCTTTAACGTTCCATGGAATGGTGGGCATTCTTACTGATCGGAAAGGCCCTTATTAGCCAAAGAGGATTTATTCTCTCCTGCCAGCAGTAATACAATCTGTTCCAGGCAATAGGATTTGCTTTATCTCTGCCTAAATCTTAAAAAAAAAAGCTGCTGGGGTTTAAATGCTCAATGAAATGACCATTCAGTCCTTAACTGCTTCAGTGCTGGGTATGCAGCCTGTAGAGATCACTTGATCCCCATAGTGTTTTGTGGGTGTTTATTTGGCATGGCACAGTGACATTTGCTTTTTGTGCCTTGTTGCACATGATTGGTGAGAGTAAGCAGGGGCGTTTTTATTTCTTATAACACCATCTATTTTGTATTCTCTAAACATTGACTGGTGGTAAACGAGGGGACTGAGCAATGTAACAACGTTAGGCCTATATATATATATATATATATATATATATATATATATATTATAGTGTGTTATCCCAGCTTTTCTTTTTTGGCCTAAATTATGGAATTCACTTGCCGGTTTACAACAATTGGCTGTGAGTGATTCACAGACATCAATCATTTTAATAACTCAGATTGTAATATTATCTTTAGCTTCTAATTATTGGGTTTTCCTAATCTGTTAATTAGAAGAACTGTTAATGTGTTTCTTAATTTCATCATTCTCAAATTACAAACCATTCTGAAACAGTGTTAATATGAGGCCATCTGTGCTAAAATATGTAACCTAATAGTAATTAAATAAGATTACCTAACTGTTTTATAGATTAGGATACCTCAAAAACCTGCACTGAGTAGACTAGAGGATTGGCACAACTCCATAAACCTTATTTAGGAATCTATGCCATAAACCTTTTTTTAATGCATTTTATTGATTATTTTTATATGCAGCAGACACTGTCTGTCAATAAATGTCCTGAAAAGTTTAAACAATATTGACATGACTAAAGCAGGCTAATAATGCCCACTTCAGCTACAAAGGAAAGTGTCAAGCTGTTAACAATCATCACTATATCTCTGGCACCATAACCACTACCATAAATGGCTAAATGTGGCTTGATTTTCTTGCAGTTTGTAGATCTTTCAGAATAAAGCTGACATCTGAACTAAAAATCCTACACACCCCTAAGTGCAAAACTTCTATATTTTACTTTTTCAAGCACAAGGATTAATCAAGAGATTTCAGTCATGTTCTGGTCTGATGAGTGCTCACTACAGAATCTTGGGGGATTCTCATTTTATTATTAATGCATTAACTATATGCATAACATTTGATAATCCTATTCAGTCTGGACTGTGCCTTTACAAGAACACTCTTGGCAACATAACCACTTCATCTTAATACAGAAGCATTGACTTGAGTTGCAAGTCAGCTGATGCCCTCAACCTATCACTTTTTGCCCATCGACAGTAGAGGTTTAAACTGTATGTACGTTTACTCGAATTGGCAGCCATGGATCTGCTCTTAACTTTTCACTAACTGCCTGTAGCTGTTTGAGCTAATGTTTCCATATTAGCACAAACAGAGGGCTGGCAGCTAAACAGTGCATGGGGGCAATTCTTCAGTGATAAGCCATTCAAAATGGTTTAACACTGAAAGGTAAAATGTTGCCATTATGAAATGGTTTTAGTGCCTGGAGAGTTCCTTTCGTGCTTGAACATCAGTGGCTATATTTTAATCTGGGTGAAAACCTGCTTTCTAATTATTAAAATAGATGCAATTGTAACTTAAATTATCAAATATGGTGCTTTAAGGATAATTATGCTGTATTTTGATAATGCATATTGAAATTATAAAATAGAAATTCTAAGCAGAAATTGCCCTCTCAGGGTACACCAGATTCTAATGAAGCCCTCTGTACATGGGCCAAGTGCAAACCTCATTTAGTAGTGCAGAGGTGTGTCTAATAATAAATAATAATTTGCTTGCTGGGGACAGTTCCCGTGTCTTAGGACATCATCGACCCAACCCAGTGTGGTGTGCTGAGTCCCAAATAGGGACAGTCCTGCCGGGTCCTGGTTGAAGATGATATATTTGTCGGGTGATTTATACATTTTGTAAAGTCCTCCGTTAAGATGATCAATGAGGCAGGAGATAGAAGCTGCTGAAACTTTTTAAAGAGCATGATTTAAGGACTGCAATCAACCTATTACAGCCCTTAATTCAGTGTGGTCTTGGCACAGCAGTATGCTATTGCACATTTATTGAAAACCACTGCACAAAGGTCCAAAATAGTCTTATGTGAAGGATTGCACAAGACTGCAGAATCCTCCAAAGATCTTTTTCATGTGAGTGAACGAATGCCATAGTCCTCAATTGAGAATTCCTTTACTTGGAGGAGTAATCCTATGCAGGGCATATTATGTTGTAGAGAACATAGGTTGGATTGGGGAATGGCCTAGGCCGGATTAACATAGGGGCTGATGGAGCTGCAGCTCCAGGCCAAGGCCTATGTCCATGGAACAGGTCCATTGTCCATTTTTTTTTCTACTCTTCACATGGGGATGTAGGGGAACAAAACTGGTGGTCTGGCTGACCATTAAATTAGTTAAAGGACCACCCTAGGCACCCAGACCACTTCAGCTTAATGAAGTGGTCTGGGTGCCAGGTCCAGGTAGGGTTAACCCATTTTTTCATAAACATAGCAGTTTCAGAGAAACTGCTATGTTTATGAATGGGTTAAGCCTTCCCCCTAATCCTCTAGTGGCTGTCTCATTGACAGCCACTAGAGGCGCTTGCGTGCTTCTCACTGTGATTTTCACAGTGAGAGCACGCCAGCGTCCATAGGAAAGCATTATGAATGCTTTCCTATGTGACCGGCTGAATGCGCGCGCAGCTCTTGCCGCGCGTGCGCATTCAGCCCAGGAGGAGGAGAGGAGGAGGAGAGCTCTCCGCCCAGCGCTGGAAAAAGGTAAGTTTAACCCCTTTTCCCCTTCCAGAGCCGGGCGGGAGGGGGTCCCTGAGGGTGGGGGCACCCTCAGGGCACTATAGTGCCAGGAAAACGAGTGTGTTTTCCTGGCACTATAGTGGTCCTTTAAGGTAAAGCTGACTGTGCACTATGCAAATGCTCTTGCTGCTTCAGTCTCTCTAACTCTGTGGCATGTTCCCTTTCTTCTACACTCACTACATACACCTCTTTTTTGTCCCAGACTATATACCTGGATCTTCTGCCTACTAGTAAGTAGGTAAGGAGAGGAAGGGACAGGTGAGTGCTAGTGGACAGTCTTTAGAAAGCGTGGAGCGAGCGCATCATTTCAAGCATTTATGCCAAGCTCAGGGTGCTGTCTGCATAGTATGTCATTGGTTGGCCAGCCTGCATGATTGTCAGACAGTCTGACATGCATTCACACCAGGGTGACCATCGAATTCCTCAGGCAGACTTTTTTGGGCATGTTTGCCCCCTTAGACGGTTTTGCTTACGTGATTCGCGTCTGTGGCCCACCCTTTTACTTCGCCCACCGAAATCCTGCTTCACCGGACACTGCTGTTAATGGGTTTGGATATACTTGAAAGATGAAAGCGAGAGATTAGCATAGGGTATGTGTTTGTGTTTTTTTTTTTTTTTTTAAAGCAATATCCTGTGAGTTTCTTTCAGCACCACCTACACCAGATACATGACGATTGGGAGGTATGACTGTTTTAGTGTTTTCTGTTGATACCGTTCTATAATTAGGCCCATCATAATTGTCAGTACCAGGCCCAGTGGGTCGAAGGAGACTGTACTCCAGATCACAAAGAAAACAATGTGATATTGGCAGGAATAAATTAATTTACTTTATTAAGTTTCAACACACAATGAGGATTGTGAATAAATAATTTGGCTATTTCTAAAACAAAGTATGATCCATTTGGTCATATGTTTCCCTTTAATCTGTAAAATTTAGGTAACGATGTTGGAATGGGCTTTATACATGAGATAAAAAGGGGTGGAATTTAGTCTTCTGTCTCACTATGTGCTTTTTTATTGTACAAATAGCTCCATATACAGGATGGTAAAATGTATATAATAAACGAGCCATACAAATATGATTGATTATATGCCTACATAGCCTGCAACTAATTTCTATATTAAGACCTGGATGCTCTTTCTGGTTTGGTGCAGCTGGATCCCTAGTGCTTATTTTATTTCACATATACATGCAAAGATTATGGAAGATAAACCTCAAGGGCAAATCTCTCCCTTATATAAAGTACACCATGCACCAGGACATGTAGGCACAAAACCTTCTTGTGCTCCTTCCCAGAAGCCAACATGCAAGCAGGGGTGGATCCAGAACCAAATCTCAGGAGGGGCACTGGTAGTGGGCTGTAGCGGGGAAAATGGGGCTGTAGGGGCTGTAGTGGAAATAGTGGCTGTAGTATAACCCACAGAGTGCCAAAGTGTGATGTTACCAGCGCTAAGCAGAGTGGGCAGTGGCGGAACTAAGGCAGAGAGTTCTCCGGTGCAAGAAATTATTTTGGCCCCCCATAGCACAAGGGTGACACAGAAACACACTAACGTGCAGATACACACATGTCCTCATACTGACACAAACACATACTTGCACAGACACATACACACAGATACAAACCTATACCTTTACTGACACATTCACAGGCACATACACACACCAACACATATACCTACACACTGATGTACATACACACACTGGCACACACACAAATACACTTGCATACCTACAGATACACACACTGGCACACACTCGGATACACACTGACTATTGTACCCCCCCCCCCCGATCCACCACTGCTTGCAAGCCAGCATTTCACCTTAAGGGGAGTGTTTGCTAAAATTATTCAAAATGAGAGGATCAAAACGGAAGAGTAGGTTTAGCTTTGTCATTACTAATGTCATTCATTTAGTTCTCTTGTTGAGGTGCGCCCGTAGATAAATTACCGAGTGACATCTGTCATCATCTTCCTTGTCTGAACTATGCTTCAGTTCTTCAGTTACTACAGTTTAATAGTCTACACCATTTTAAGTGTCTCTAGATTTTTAGATTTTGGTGCCTTGGGGATCAGCCTATTTTATATGTCATTGAGATAAACAAATGAAGTCTGAGTTAAACGCCAACTTGGTTTATCATATGCTAATGTGATCAGATAAGTGTGGTTTATTCACTCTGTATTGAAATGAATGGAAAACCAAATTGCAAAATTCAGTCCAAACCAGCAAAGGTGGATGGATCGTTGCTCTGGAGATATTTTTCAACTCTGCAGATGTCCTAATGGTTCTCATTTCGCCATTGTTGATTGTTTAGTTACATCCCTAAAGTAAACTTTGGCTGGCTTTATATGCAGCCTTGGCATGATGTCTTTAATGACGTGACTCAAGTACAATCAATGCAGGCTTTATTGTGAGCTGCTAGTGTGCAGAACATTAAAGATTTAAACACTCCTACTCTGAAATTGACACGACTCTGGAAATCCACAGAACCTCGTGTAATGATAGTGGTGATCACCCATGGGTGTGTAATGGCTGGGGAAGTATATTTGTGTTCCTAAGGGACCCTTATAACCTTATCCTTGCTCTCTGTCCACATTCTTGAAGATTATCGAGTTATGTATGACATTTTAAGATTGTGTCATTTCAATAAACTGTTCTTTTTCCAGGTTGTATATTTCGCCCACCAAGAAGCATAGACCATTTGATAGTTCTATGAGTCCAATGCAATGGTGCAGGCAAGTACTTGACAACCCATCTCCTGAGATAGAGGCAGCAAAGAGATCTCTGTGCTTCAGACTTGAACAAGGTAATTAATGTAATATGTGCTCTGGTTTTTGCAGTCTGTGACATTATCACTGCAAGCAGGATTTCTTTAAATTAAAAAATAAAATGGTCATGGAAGAATTATTTTGTATTTTTCCAAGTTATTTATTAATCTAATGGAATTTACTATTGTTCAAACCAAGGGCAGTTTCATTTTTAAATTGTGTTTGTGTGTATGTATATTAATTTTCTTTTTCTCTAGAGTCTGAGCTTTAAAGGCGCATCTGTAATGTGGTTTATAAAGAAAAAGGCCGGTGTTTTTAAGCTGGGTCATACTTGCATATATGTCTGGCACTTTCATGGTATTTCGACTATCTGTTGAAAGATACCCTTAAATTTGGACATATCTTGCTTGATATAAACCAGGTAGAAATTCATATTAAATAAGAAAGGAAAAGAGACTTGATTATACAGCTAGATTCAAAATATCATAAATAAAAACTCTTAGAATTGCGGTTTTGCTTTTTGCTTTATTTTTCCAATATACGGTAGATTTTATTTTGTGTTGAAAACATACACAATGAGGCACATAGAAAAGAGAGATGATCTATAGTACAATTCAAGTACCATCCCTAAAAAGCTATTTACACTGCCCTAAATGGGTCGGGATGTTAACATGTCTCAAATGCCCAGTGGTGTTTCTTTATCTTGTAATAACACTCAAAAGGACAAAAAGGAAGTAGCATATAATATAGTACTGCTTTTAAAATGCGTGTGTATGTGTGTGTGTGTGTGTGTGTGTGTGTATATGTATGTGTGTGTGTGTGTATATATATGTGTGTGTGCATAATGATAGTTTAAAGTATGGGTGCCCAATGTTGGAACTTTAGGACCACTTTGAAAATTGGGTATTCATTGCGGACAAGCAAGTCTCCTATACAATAATAATGAAAGGAATGGAAGATTTAGCTAATAAGAGTACTGTCTGCTTTTCATAATTCAACGTTCAGAACTATTTCTGTGTCAGCTAATCAGCGGCAGCACTCCAAAGTGACAATCAATCATTGTTGTCCTCTATTTTGACTTGGAGTGCTTCATTCTGGAAAACATTTGTTCACATAAAGAAGATTCATTTTGTGTGCATTGTTATATTTACAGTTTTCTCCTTTTCTACATACTTTTGGTAAAATTATAGATATTATAAAGAGGCACTTCATTAAGTTTGATTTTCAGTTCTGAGTTGCATTGAAGGTCATGGATTTCCATAATTACCACATTCAGGGTTCTATCTTGAGTGCTGTAATCTTGGGATCTCTCTGGATTCTCGGTTTGGAGCTGAGATATTCCAGCCACATATTAAGGAGTGTATTCTGCAGACTGCAATTTCAACATGCTTTGGTAATTAGTTAAATTCTAGACTTAAAGTTTGCTCTTAACTCAGCTCTATCACCTTCTGGGGTCTTTGCATATTTTGCAAATACCCCTGGTGATGACTACTTCGCTTCTAGTGCCCAGAGGTGCAGGAAAAGGTAGTTTTTACTTATCAGTACCTTGCTGATGCTGCTATCATCTTCCTCAAGGTCCTCTTTGTTTCCTGGAGCTTTATCTACCAGGAGCTGACTTCAGCGCTGTACTCTTGTAGCTCCACCTTTTTGTCAAGCTTTGTAATGTGTAAGAAAAATACATTAAAGTAGTCCCTGCTTCTGACTGGGTTGGAATTTCAGAGAAATGCCAACACAATCTGAGCATTTTAAGCACTTGAGGAGGGATGACAAAGCTTAATTAAAGAGTTCTAATTTAATCTGAAAAACTGTTTGTGCACCCCATTTAATGGCCAGCAGGCCACAAGTATCTGAAGTGACATCGGTTAAGCACCTCTTCTTTAAAACAACACTCATTATTATAATAAAACAAGCACGAGACATGTTCATAAATAGTACATGAGACTTACCTACCCTACAATTATACATGTTGGTGCTTTGTTAGGTTTTAGATATGTTTTTGTGTGTTTACTTAAAGGGACACTCCGGGCAGCTAAACAAGTTAAGTTTCAATTTTCTTTATATTTATAATAAACATATGACACTATATAATACCTAATGTGTGGAAGTGTTTGTGTGATGTGGTTTGCAAGTTCTATTGTGTGAATGCAGAGGACTCCAAGGGGACTTGGGCAGGCATTGTGGGCATGTGTAGAGCTGAGTGAAACGAAGGCACACCCAGTAAGGCATCATTAGTAAAGATTAAAACAAATACTTCTAAAGCTCATTTTTACATTATTTAGGGGAAAAAAGCATTTAGTGACAGTAGGTTTATGTTTGATGGGGGGGAGGGGGTTATGGTTTAATGGTTATGGTGCTATAAGCTTATGGGTGCTGTCCTCCAGTTGTCTGTCAAACAGGTTAGGAAGAGTTGACAAAAAAACTGGGCTCTTCATACGACCTCTACTTTGTACCCTCTGCTGTCATTCTGATAATGTGGAAATTATACCAAGAGTGAATCCATCCAAACTTAAATGGCAATTTTCGTCTTAGAGTGCTGGATGCAGATGTGATATTGATCATGTTCATGTGAAGGGGAAAAAACAAACGATCAATGATATTTCTTAATGACTCGCTGTTGACCATTTCTGCAAATTGCATTCAGTACCGCAGAGAACAGGACATGTTGAGTTCACATTCTCTTATTGGTTTCTGTGGTACTAAAATATATATATGAAGTTTGGTTGAATACGTTAGATTATAGGAACAAAAAATGAATAGGTGCTGAATATATCCCACAGACCTCTGTCCCACACAAGGGCATCTGTAACCAAAGGCTGCATTCATGATTTTCCTAAATGGAATTAGTTATGCCCACAATAAGTCTCTCTATCTGAAAGCTACATGAATAATATTTTTTTGCCATGCAGCATAAATCCCATGTAATGTATTGTATTTGGGTATGGTGTTAAAGCAGCAAAAGTTTTGTATTACTAAGATTTTAAAGAGACACCATAGTAACCAGCTTACTGTAATGGTTCTGGTGTCTATAGCCTGTCCCTGCAGTCTTTTCAATGTAAACGCTGCCAGTGGTTGCAATGCTGTCTAGTAACACCTCTAATGACAGTCCCTCAGAGAGCCACTAGAGGTGCTTCATAGTCTGGTGCTGCTCTACACGAAGATGCTAAACGCTCCCCATTGATTCAATGCATTTTTATGAGAAGATGCTGATTAGCGCAGTGTTTTGCCTCACATGGCGGAGACCATCAAGAGGCAAGGCCAGCCATGGCAAGACTGGCGTGCCAAGGGAGAAGAGCTGAGTAACCTTCACCTTCTAACTTTACAGGGGGGGAGGTGGTCACCTAAACATTTTATTCCAGCCTTATAGTGTTTAAGTAGCTGAGATAGGTGTCCTACATGCACAACAACATATACAAGGAACATACTTTGTGCTGGAACTATAGTGCCCCTTTTACGCAATAGGAAATTAAACCAAGCCAGAAATATAAGCAGCCATGTAGAAACTGTTGCTAATGCTTACTAAATAGTGTTTCTTTTTCTTCCTTTGTAGGCATTTAGTTATGAAATAAGATTCTTTTAAATTAAGAAATAATTAACACGTTTAAATGTAATAAAAATTATACTAGTTATTGTGGAATAATGAGCAGTTCCTCTCCTCTGGTAGGGGAAATATTTGTTAATTTGTTAAGTTTCAAAATTATTTGTTAGATGAGGACGTCCTCTACCACTCTTAGTCACTGAATGTTGTACTCATTTGATGTACTCCACTTAAAAAAAAAAACACTCCAGCTTAAGTGGTTAAGGAGCAGCACACAGCAGACCCCAGGTAAGAAGTCAAATGGCTTGATTACTTACAATCTGGGAGCAGCAGAACACTGCTGACAACATAACCACTACAGTGAGCTGTAGTGATTATGCTGCATGGAGTGTTCCTTTTCAGGTGGAAGAAACGTCTTCTTTAACCTTTTTAGTGCAAATTTAGAGAGTCCACAGATCCCTGACAGCACCAGGTAAGTGTCAAACCATTTGTATGAGTTCTGATATTTCATTGGGGCATGGCACCAATCACTACAGTGCGCTGTAGTGGTTAGTGTGCTTAGATTATCCCTTTAAGAAAGGAAATGCTTATTCATGAGGCTGCAGGTAATCACAGAATTGAACAGTTTAAGAGGCATCTCAAAGTTCTATTTTAAACTGTTAATATTTGAAATGTCATTGCGATTAGAAAAAAAAAAAATATCTAAAGTTATTGAGAGCATGTATTTAAAAGTGAAACATATATATAAAAAAATCCAGGGACTACACAGCATTTGCAACTAAGAATCTGACTTTTTTTTTCAGGAATCAAGAAATGGGTGTAATCTCTTAGCATTGTTGGTCCTCCACAGGGAGATTTGTATGCATCTTACATAGTGCTTAATAAGAAGTTATACAACCTATTCGTGCACAAATAGATACAGGTGGAACAGGGGCATGTTTTATTTTATAGTACTCAAGGGTTCTGGTCAATGTACTTGGTAGTGAATGGATTGAAGGACTTTTGCATCAAACATGATCAAAATGGAGCTATGCCATTACATTTCTCATTGAGCTAAGCAACTAACAAAACTTGAAATTCCAAAACAAACCGAAAAATATTTGCTGATGTACTTGTTCTGCCTTCTATTTTAGCTTTTCGTGTTTAAAATAAACGGAATAATATGGTTGTTGTTTTTGATTAATTCCTCATTCCTCTAAACTGATCTATAAAATAACCGTTCAGAAAGAAAGTGTTCTATTATCAGAAATAGCTTTTTTAAGAGAAAACAAATGGATAACTTCATGGACAAATAAATATATTTTGTAACATGGAGACCTCAGATTGAAGGCCATCACATTTGCTTTGCAGCACATGGCAAAATATATAAACCAGTTGTTAAATGAACCTATTAGGACTATTCTGAATTTTATTTTTGTATGCAGTATATTATGTTTTATCACTGTTTATGACAGACACTCGGATATATCCTTAATTTATGTACAGAATCCCATAATTTTGGATGTAAAAGTGAAACTATAAGTGCCAGGAATACAAAGCTGTATTCCTGGCACTATAGTTCCCTCTGCCTCTCCCCCATCTTTCTCATCCCCTCCCCTACCTTGATCAATAAAGGGTTGAAAACCCTTTATTCACTTGCCTTTCCCCAGCGTCGATGTCCTTTGGTGGTGGGCCAATGCTCCATCCCCTCAGGTGGCCCCCGACGAGTGGGTGATAATGCGCACATGCATCAAATTCCACACGCGTGTTAGTTCTCCCCATACGAAAGCATTGAATTAATGTTTTCCTATGGGGACAAATCTGACTCTGGATGTCCTCATGCAGAGCGTAAGGACGTCCACTGTCAGACACCAGACCACAGGTCTGTTTTGATTCAGGAAGCCCTCTAGTGGCTGTCTCCAATGTAAATGGTAATAATTTCTCTGAAACTGCAATATTTAACATTACAGCACTAAGTGCAAAAGGGACAGTGCACCCAGACCACTTCAATTAGTAGTCTGGGTGCCTACAATGTCCCTTTTAGGGGACACTCCAGACCCCTAAAGCACCTCAGCTTGCTGAAATGCTTTATGTGTAAAGAGTGTGTCCTTTTATTATTTATTTTTATATTTCAAAAAGTGCAGTTTTCAATAGATTACAAAAATTTGCAGAAAGAAAAGGTTACCTTTCCTGGCGGTTTTTAACATAAGGGTTTACCAGCAGCTCACTGTTAGTTATACCCACAATACCAAAGCTGAGATCACCGTTTAACTAATAATCTAATGATGACCTTGAAAGTGGAATAGCCACAATCAGATGTCCTGCAGGGTTGGTCAATCTTAAATACGCCAACAGCTTAATACATAAATTAGGAATATCGATACAATAATAATCCTTGACTTATTTCATCCCTGAGGTCGGAGCCTCAAACATATGGCGCCTATAGGAGAGTGGACCACACTGATAACTCAAGTCAATGCAGTTTGTTTGTAGCCTTGAAAGATTTTGCTTTTACAAATTAACCATGTTACACCCTCGACTTTCAATGAGAAAACAGGTCCTATTATGTCCTTATTCTTTAGCCTACTGGAGCTAAACTCAAAAGGCAGAAGTTGCCCAGATCAAGGATTCTCATTAAACTGCATTGGGAAGTCTGTGATTGTACACTCACATAAAGGTCTGTACTGGGGAAGAAGGGTAGGGCTTGCAAAAAGATCTGCGGCAAACTGTTTTCATACTCCCAATGAACAAATGCATAATTAAATGAATGCATGTTTTTATTTGGGGTATATGTATTTAACACAATTTCTTTCTTTCTTCATTTGGGCAGTGAAGTTTCTCTCTAATGTGAGCAAGGCTTTTTTTTTTTCCTGTTTATAAAATGTGTGTTTTCATAGCTAAAAACCACCAATAATTTTGTGAATGTTTTCCTAAATTTATAATTGTATTTTTTTTAAAATGACCTTTTGGCATATAGTAAAGATAATTATTTTTTTTAAGCTGCTTCTTACAGTGTATGCTTGCAAACTATTAATTTTATGTGGAAGATATTGCACACTAGAATTTGACATGCCACCACATATATTTTTGACCAAGTGACTGCACTTGAAGATGTCTGTGCCTTCTATATTTTTTGACAGCTGTGCTGGTAGTAAAGTCTTGTTGTTTTCACTTCTTGTATTTGTCAATATTACTTTAGATGTCAATGTCTTGCTCCCTATTGTATGTGTCACCCAGTGTCCCCAAGTCTCTCACTGTCCCCATCTTTCAGTTTCCCCTGTGAGATTTCCCTACTGTATGATTGTAAAGTGCTGCATATTATGTTGGTACTATATAAATGCTAATAATAATAGTCTATGCTCTTGCTAGCATTAAAGCTAGCCCTATGTATGATTGAATGAGGTTCCCTATGAATGAAGTCGTGGAACCAGGTCAAGTGACAATTTAGATACATTAAAGGGTTACTCCATGACCAATTCTTGTAGATTGAGATGTTGTTTTTTCTTTTGAGGAGGAATCCGGTATTTTTAGTTTTCTGATCAAGTCGTGGAGTGGACCCCTAGCTCACTGTACCTAGATGGTTGTCAGCTACATCTCCCTGATGATGCCTAAAGAAAGCTATAACTATTGTCTGGGGTTCTATATATCCCATACGGAGGGAGCTGGGCAGCATTTCTGAGCTTTTTGTCCTTAGGGTGGGTTCAGCCCAATATGCAAAAGATTTAGATTAAATATGTTAGCTAGCTGGAGAACTCGGTGTGGGCTCCTGAAGAGTAAGCTCTGTATTTGGTTTGTTTTCCTGGCATTGCAAGTTTTGATGAGTATGTGTTTTAGTCCTGCTTGGTAGGTGTTTGTGAGAAACATTGCACACAATTTACAATGCACGTAAAATCAACTTGCGGATCATGATTGAAGTTGAGCTACTTCTTTAATTTATTTTGTGCAAATCTGCAGCTTCTCCAAGTTAATCAAACAGTGTTTAATCAGACCGTATTTGATTAAAACAGTTTTTTTCTGTTGGAGTGTTCTTACTGGTGTGGTTACCCCCGCACCCCCCCCCCTTTATAAATTGAGAGGCCAAGTTCTCCATGCATTATCCTACTTTTATGGATTCACTCTACCTTACTTTCTACCTCACTGTTTTAAAAGCAGGGCTTAGGAAGGCGTGGTGGAGGTTGACCATGCCACCTTTTGCCATCCGTTACCAGCATGCAATGCGAAGATTCATAGTATAGTTTGTAGAAGGAAAACTCAGTTTTTCTTTAGTTTATAAATAGCATAAACTTTCTCCCCCCACCTCCCCCCCTTCCCTCACACTCATACTGAGCTGGGACTCTTTATGGTGGGAAGCTGTCAGGAGGGCAACCTTGATTTGCTCCACTGATTTATGTAAGATTTTTTTTTTGCCTTTAATCTTTCAAGGATTCACTCTAGCAATTCCCTGCTTCCCTAATGATTATGGTCTTGTATCTGTCTCATCTAATGCTCTGAAAGTTAATTCTAATTTCCTTGGGACATGGTTGAGTTCCTCCCAGAATTCATGCGATGCACACTTGTAGTCTGAGGAAATCTTTCTTTAAAGCAGACTCCTGCTCCTTGATTTAAACCCACAACCACACAGTTTTGAATCCAAATGACACAGTGCCTTTTTACTTTATATTTGTAAATCGGTATTGTTTGATCAGTTTGAAATCTGTTATATACAATGGTAGCAATAATATTTGGTTTTTAGTTTGTATTTCATCAGTGTACTGATTAATTTGTATTTTTTTTTAGGCATTCTAGTTAGGACTGACATCATAATGATGTGTGTTATTGCAGAGGGTGTGTATATGTGTGTGTGTGTGTTTATGCAATGTAGTGTATAGGGAAATCCTGTTAGTGTAGGGCAGGGCTGTGCAACCTTAGGTAATCTGAGGGCCGCATTAAAAAGCAAGATTTATCAGTTGGCCGGACTCAAAGTTATAAACTCATATTATATATATATATATATATAAGTTTGAGTCTTATATATATAAATAGGTTATGGTGGGGAAAAATTGTGATTGAAAACCCCTTCCACCTGAAGTATGTGGATAGTTAATACAATGCTAAACAAAAATCTGCACACCAGTCAAGCCATAAGACTTGCTTTTCCCACAGAAATCCCAAATCAGCAGTGATGTTACAACCGCAAAGGATTCTGGGTGGGCATATGCAAATTAGTTTAACAAAGAATCACATTTTTGCCTCATTCCATTTTAAACATGGATTCCTTTTAATTTGTGTTTGCAGTATACAACTGCTTGGAACACAATTTAGGATAAGATGCAAAACCAGTGAACCACTCATGGACAGCTGTTTCGTTGTTAATGCAACTCTTCAGCATGAGGTTGGTTACTGGTTTGCTAATTGAGGCTTGGTAGTGCTTGGGAAGGGATTTCTGTGGGAAAAGCAAGTCTTATGGCTTGACTGGTGTGCAGATTTTTGTTTAGCATTGTATTAACTATCCACATACTTCAGGTGGAAGGGGGTTTCAGTCACAATTTTTCCCAACCATAACCTATTTAGATTTTGCTTCCCAAGCACTACCAAGCCTCAATTAGCAAACCAGTAACCAACCTCATGCTGAAGAGTTGCATTAACAACGAAACAGCTGTCCATGAGTGGTTCACTGGTTTTGCATCTTATCCTAAATTGTGTTCCAAGCAGTTGTATACTGCAAACACAAATGAAAAGGAATCCATGTTTAAAATGGAATGAGGCAAAAATGTGATTCTTTGTTAAACTAATTTGCATATGCCCACCCAGAATCCTTTGCGGTTGTAACATCACTGCTGATTTGGGATTTCTGTGGGAAAAGCAAGTCTTATGGCTTGACTGGTGTGCAGATTTTTGTTTAGCATTGTATTAAATATATATATATATATATATATATATATATATATATATATATATATATATATATATATATATATATATATATATATATATATATAAATTTGTTTAGTGTTGGCATTTGAATGCAGTTTTATGTTTGTATGTACTATTGCTATTTGAAAGCAGCAGTGTACACACACACAAACACACTTACACCTCGATACATACACTGATTCATATAAATACACACACACACACTGAGGCGCACACACACTGGCTCATACACACACTGATATATATATATATATATATGTATATTATCCACTTGCGAAAGCCCTAAAACTGTATTTTAATAAAGGTCTTTTGGCAGCTTTCTTTGTTGTGAGTTAGCCATTTTTTCTTTTTTACCATTTTTATTATTTTACTACCTGGCATCTGAGTCTTACTTGTTCCAGAGAGATACTACTCCAAAGCATCCTTGGTGGGGATTTTACCACTTGCACCCTATCATTGAACAGTGCGTCTGCCCAATTAAATGTGAGTAACCATTTGGTATTTTTATACACTCTCCTGGTTTTATCACAGTAAGCTCTATTGTTGTTTTTTATATTGCATATGGTCCCCATCTGACGAGATATCTACTTACAACACTCCCTCATGTATCCCATAAGTGAGGATTATACCACTGTACGCTGTTTATACTAGAGCTAGTTTTTAGCTCTCAAAAATGTGAGTAGGACCATATAGACCTCTTTTATCAGCTTCTACCTATTTGGTTTTTATTGCACTATTATATTGTCTTTTCTCTTTCATACGGATCCCACGAACCCCTCGATCCCACTACTCCATAGACGTTGATAGGGATAAAAATTTACCCAAGAATATGTTCAGGGGAAACCAAATTGTTATATGTTCGAGCACGCTCTGTGAAGCAATCAAATCAGACCAGACACTTGTGATCCAAAGATTACATCACCTTTATTGGGTGAGCTTACAAGATTATATAGTACTTTATGACTTGCGCGACAAAAACAGGATGCTTGAAGGCTTTGTACCATAAAAGGAATTTAGAGAACTAAGCATATTTCAATAGTTATAAAAAAAACAAAAACATTAGGACATAAGTTAGGATATAAGAAGGGGGGGCTGAGGGTAAAGCTGCAATTCTCTCCTCAGAAACCACAGAATGGCTCACAAGTAAAGAATTTATGCTTACTTGTCAGACACTGAAACTAGACTAAAAGTTCAAAGCATAATATGAAAGTAAAAACAGACTGGACATTCGGTCATCTGTAGCTTGAGCCTTGGGTCAAGGTGCCTTCCATCACAATTCCCCTCTTTTTGACCCCAACACCCAGGTGACTGAGGTATGTCCAGGTATGCTAGTCATACCTGTGGGTTTTTTTATTATGCCATCACCACGGATCTCTCAGACAGGGAATCCAGGAGTCCCAGAAGTAATGGTCCTTCATCGGTTATACAGCACTGTAGGTGTCAAAGGTTGAGGAAGGAACAGCTTCACGTCGGTTGATCAGTTGGAGTGATTTGTTTACAGTGACTTGTGTGTATCCACGTGGCTTTTCCTTCTAGTTTCACTGAGGTGGCTGTGGTTAGCAACACTTGGACGGGACCATCAAATCTTGGCTCAAGCCATTTTCTCACGTGTCTTTTTATCACTACCCAATCTCCAGGTTGTAACTGTAGAGTCTTGTCTTGGGGGCGCATCCAAATAAAATCTCAAAAGGGGGTAGGCAATTTCTTGGCTGAGGAGTGAATCTCATTGAGGAGAGTGCTAGGGGAAGGCATTCAGTCTAAGGCTTCCCTGTCTCTTGCATGGCTTTTGCAATTTTATTCTTTAGGGTGCCCTTTGCCCTTCCTACTTTCCCACTACTCTGGTTGTGGTAAGGGGTGCGGAAGGCCTGACTGATCCCTAGTGTCTTCATTATTTCATGCATTATTTCCCCAGTGAAATGGCTACCTCTGTAACTTTCAATCACTTCAGGTACCCCGTATCTTCATACCAGTTCCTTCAGAATCTTACTTGCTGTGACCTTTGTTTTGGCTTTCGACACAGGGTAGGCCCCAGGCCAACCTGAAAAGAGATCAATGCACACCAACACATATTCATACACTCCTACCTTAGGCAGTTGAATATAGTCTATCTGCAGTCTCTGAAATGGGTAAAGTGGCCTTGGGATATGTTTACCTGGTGTTTTGACAGCCTGTCCGGGATTATTCTTAGCACAAATCATGCAAGCTCGCCACAGTAAACCCAGGTGCCACCCAATGAGTATTATAAATGTGTGGGTCCATGGGCTACTTGAGCCATCATAGGGTACAATACTCATGGTAAATACAGTATTTTACCTTTTCTCCACATCTTGTAATCATCAGGTTCTGCATCTTGTTTCCTCCAGAGATCTTCTTCTTTGCTTGCTTGCTTCTGCAGGCCTAACAATATATTGTAGTCAACAGTCTTTTCTGGAAGGACAACCTGTGGGAAGGTATTACCTGTGGAAGGATGAAGTTGGATTGCTGCTTGCTTGGCAGCTTTGTCTGCTTTGTGGTTTCTTCTTGTGATCGCATCTGTAATCTTCACGTGAGCTTCCGCCTTGATGATGCCTACTTGAGTAGGTAGCAGGATAGCATCCATAAGTGCACTCACTGCTTCAGAGTTCTTTATTGGAGTTCCTGCTGAGGTGAGAAAATCATGAGCCTGCCATATAGGCCCAAAATCATGGGGTATACCGATGGCATAGCGAGAGTCTGTGTAAATATTAGCTTTCTTACCAGAGGCCAGATTGCACGCTTTAGTATGTGCCTTCAGCTCAGCCTCCTGTGCAGAGCATTGAGGGGTGAGTGGTTCAGCTTTAATTACTTTTGTGTGCAGAGATTACAGCATATCCAGTGTGGAAATTGCCCTTCTCATCAGCATATCTGGAGCCATCTACAAAAAACTCATTCAGGGTTAGACAATGGAGACCCAATTACATGTGAAAAACCTGCTGTCTCTTGTGCCATTATGCTCCACAATTATGGGGTACCTGGGCTTCAGCTAACCCGTCTGGTGACAGGGAATTTACAAAAAGATCAGAATCACCACTACTCCCTCAGCTGAACTTGTGATAGAATGCTGTTAATATTATGCGGGGTGTAAATGGTAACAGAATTGTCTAAGACCATGTCGGTGGCTTTGTCCAGTAATGCAGCTAGTGCTCTTACACAGGAAGGGGCACCTCTGGCAACAGGTCTAACCTGGTGGAGTAATAGGCAACGGGTCTCTATTTCCCACCATGGTCCTAAGTAAGGACAGCTGTTGCATAACAAATCTGCTTGGTGGAAAACAGGTAAAGGATCTTCTGTAATCTGGGAGACCCAACGCCGGAGCTGAGGTGAAAAGCAATTTAAGAGTGTAAAATGCTTCCTCTGCTTTAGGAGTTAGATTAAAGGGTTCCTGGGTGAGGCAATCATACAAGGGCTGCATTAGATTAGACCCAGAATGGTACGAAGGTGGGCTAGGCTGCGTGGAGGATTAATTTGTTCAACAGCATTTTTCCTGTCTTTTGTGAGATGCTTTGTACCATATAAAATACAGTGTCCTAGAAAAGTAACAGTGGAAAGGCATGCCCATAGTTCGGCCTTGGTAGCTTTGCACTCTGCTTGTGCCAAAAAATTTAATAAAGACAGGGTGTGCTCAGTACATGACTCCTGATCAGGGCAGCACAAAAGCAAATCATCAACATATTGTAGTAATACTACATCATCTGCCCTTGGCCACGCTTCTAGAATTTGGGCTATTGTCATGCTATACATAGTAGGTGAATTCTGAGCACCTTGTGGCAACACTGTCCAGGTGTATTGTTTGTGCTTGTGTGTGAATGCAAAAAGGTATGGACTGTCTGGGTGCAAGGGAGCAGAAAAGAATACATTTGCCAAGTCAATGACATTAAACACCTTAAAAGAAGGTGGAATCTGTGACAACAGTGTATGAGGGTTGGAAACATTGGGGGCAATTAGTTCGGTCACTGCATTAATTGCCCTTAAATCGTGTACCATATGATAAACCACAGGTTTTCCTTTATCCTGTTTCTTTTTAATGGGGTATTACAAGTAGATATTGTAGGGACAATTACTCCTGCCTGCATAAGCTCTTGGACAGATTGGAAGATGGCATTCTCCTGTGCTGGGCTGAGGGGGTTCTGTTTCTGGCACTAGGGGCTGGTTCAGTGATACCTCTCCAGACGGACTAAACTGAATGTTGGGGCATTAGGACTGACAAGCAGTCTAGTTACAAGGGAGGTGGAATCATGAAAATTCAGCTTCATTTTGTGGGTGAGGGGATGTCGCTAGGGGTCCAATCTACTCCATACATGAAAATACGTCATCAGATTTTTCATAAGGAAAGACGTATTTTTCCTGCACCACAGATCGGACTGCTCCAGTGTCTAGTAGAAAAGCGTGCAGGGACACTGGGTTGTCAATTTCCTATTGGGGCGTGGGTGGTGGAAACTGAGTGTCATGAGAGTTGACAGAATTGTTCTGCTGGTTCCTATTTTTAGGAGGTTCCGCTTAATATGTCCCTTTCTCCCACAATTTCTTTATTGCCTTAGTAGCTCATTGTCCTTTCTGATCTTTGACTCTAGTCAGAGCTGTAAATTCCTCCTGGATCCTTTGTGAGTTACACATCTCTAACACCTGTAAAGGGTAATTCCCTCCTTAACCAAGACAAGACTATACAGACAGTGTTTAAACCCTTAGGACCACTGCAGTGGAATTTTCAGTCTGTGTCTTCTTTATTTAAATACAGATCAGCGATCTGCCTTGGAGGATTCTGACTCTAATTATAAAACTTTAAAAACAAATGACAAGGCAGACATACTTGAGCCCCACATATATATTCTACTATCTCAAGATTCCAAGATTTCTTTCACAAGAAATTCATCCTGAACATAGTATGTCCCTTTAAATGTGTTCTTGGGAAATGGCAATCTTTAAGTCCAAAACTTACCCGGACACAGAATAAGCACTTCTCTGAGAGTGAAACATAGAAACATAGAATGTGACGGCAGATAAGAACCATTCGGCCCATCTAGTCTGCCCAATTTTCGAAATACTTTCATTACTCCCTAGTCTTATCTTATAGTTAGGATAGCCTTATGCCTATCCCACGCATGCTTAAACGCCTTTACTGTGTTAACCTCTACCACTTCAGCTGGAAGGCTATTCCATGCATCCACTACCCTCTCAGTAAAGTAATACTTCCTGATATTATTTTTAAACCTTTGTCCCTCTAATTTAAGACTATGTCCTCTTGTTGTGGTAGTTTTTCTTCTTTTAAATATAGTCTCCTCCTTTACTGTGTTGATTCCCTTTATATATTTAAATGTTTCTATCATATCCCCCCTGTCTCGTCTTTCCTCCAAGCTATACATGTTAAGATCCTTTAACCTTTCCTGGTAAGTTTTATCCCGCAATCCATGAACCAGTTTAGTAGCCCTTCTCTGAACCCTCTCTAAGATATCAATATCCTTCTGAAGATACGGTCTCCAGTACTGTGTACAATACTCCAAGTGAGGTCTCACCAGTGTTCTGTACAATGGCATGAGCACTTCCCTCTTTCTACTGCTAATACCTCTCCCTATACAACCAAGCATTCTGCTAGCATTTCCTGCTGCTCTATTACATTGTCTGCCTACCTTTAAGTCATCAGAAATAATCACCCCTAAATCCCTTTCCTCATATGTTGAGGTTAGGACTCTATCAAATATTCTGTACTCTGCCCTTGGGTTTTTACGTCCAAGATGCATTATCTTGCATTTATCCACATTAAATGTCAGTTGCCACAATTCTGACCATTTTTCTAGTTTACCTAAATCATTTGCCATTTGGCTTATCCCTCCTGGCACATCAACCCTGTTACATATCTTAGTATCATCAGCAAAAAGACATACCTTACCATCAAGACCTTCTGCAATATCACTAATAAAAATATTAAAGAGAAACGGGTCCAAGTACAGATCCCTGAGGTACCCCACTAGTGACAAGTCCAAGCTTCGAATATATTCCATTAACTACAACCCTCTGTTGCCTGTCACTCAGCCACTGCCTTACCCATTCAACAATATTTGAATCCAAACTTAAAGATTGCAGTTTATTGATAAGCCTTCTATGTGCAACAGTGTCAAAAGCCTTACTGAAATCTAGGTAAGGGATGTCTACTGCACCACCCTCATCTATTATTTGGTGAAGGTTATGTGTAGAACAATAAATACTTTTTCTTACCTTGATGCAGCACTCGTTCAGTCAGAGAGGCACAGATTCTCAAGTTGCGGATCAGTGAACCGTCATTCACGGGATTTCCGGCATCAATTTGATAGGGATAAAAAGTTACCCAAGAATATGTTCTGGGGAAACCAAATTGTTATATGTTCGAGTGAGCTCGGTGAAGCAATCAAATCAGACCAGACACTTGTGATTCAAAGATTACTTCCCCTTTATTGGGAGAGTTTACAAGATTATATAGTACTTTGTGACTTGCGCAACAAAAACAGGATGCTTGAAGGCTCTTTGTACCATAAAAGGAATTTACAAAACTAAGCATATTTCAATGGTTATATATATATATTAAAAAAAAAAAAGGGTGGGGCTGAGGGTGAAGCTGCAATTGTCTCCTCAGAAACCCTGAATGTCACAAGTAAATAATTTATGCTTACTTGTCAGACAATGAAACTAGACTTAAAGGTCAAAGCATAACATGAAAGTAAAAACAGACTGGACATCCGGTCATCTGTAGCTTGAGCCTTGGGTCAAGGTGCCTTCCATCTCAATTTCTCTACCTCAGATTGAACTGTGATCTCATCCAAAGGTTTTACTGGACTCTTTTTGGACTGATCCTTCTGTACATTTCACACATATACATACACACAGACTCATACACACTATACACATTAGTTCATACACACACTGACACACACATACACACTGACTTCACACAGATACACACACTGACACACAGATGCATACACAAATATGCACACAGATACACACAGATGCATACACACAGATACACACTGACTCATACTCATAAGGGAAGACCTGTGCGTATAATGGATGTAGTATGTGTTTCTGTGTGTAAGGGATGTATTGTGTGTGTGTGTGTGTGTGTGTGTAAGGGATGCAGTGTATGTTTCTGTGTTTTGTAGTGTGTGTGAAAGATGTTGTGGGGTAGGACATGGGAGTTTTTAAAAGTTTATTCCCAATTCCTGTTGTTTACATGTATCCAGTGAGAGGGCACAGAGCACTAGAGTATTCCCTGTTGGTCTGGTGGTTGTGTAGGGGCTCTCAGCCTTGGTTGTGTAGGGGCTCTTTTTTCAAGCCCCAGCACCATGTGGAATTGGTTGGTTGCCGTGGGGCTCACGAGAATGAGAGGATCAACCTCCGCATGTGAGGCTGAAAGCCTCCTGCCCCCCACATGCTATGCAAAATGGCAAAGATCTTTGATTGCCAATACCCGGGTTGTGTGTGTGTGTGTGTATATGTATGTATGATGGCTCTAATTATAGTGCTGTAATAAAGATTGTATATCATGATGAATATTGGTAAATATTACTGCCACTTTCCATAATTCTCATTATGTTTATTTCAGTTATATTTAGTAAGTCTAGATTTGTAAGATGTAAAATTAAACCTAGAAATTAACATCTCTCTGCAACAGGACACCTCCATTGTATCTCCATACCACATATTTGTTGTTATTGTTGTGGAACTGATTCAGTTTATCTCCTCTATCCCCAGTGTGAGTAAGGTGGAAAGAGTGGTCATCCTAATGATTCAGTGTCTCCCTGCTATAGCTGTAGCTAGCTCAGTATTGGCAGCTTGTTTTGTAAAACCAGTGACTAAACCTGGATTGAAAACTGGCTTAAAGATGGAACTCTTAATCTGTTCCCGATCTTTCAAGATGCATCAGATGTCATGCATTTGTTTACAGATGACATGCAACTGATGTGGTTATTAACTTAGTCTGAACAGGATGTTACTTCTTTACAAAGATTCGGTGGCTGTTAAGATTTAGTGTAGAAAAGGTGTTTTTTTTTTTTTATATATTGTTTTTTCTTTTATATATTTTTTTTTTTTGTGATGAACAATAAACTTGCAGCTTACACCATACAGTTAAATTCATTTTTTACATTTTTGTTCTCAAAACAATTCAGAAATTTATTTTGTGGTTTTAAAAAGGCGGTAATTTAATTTTAATTTTGTAAATTTTATTAGTGATTTATATTATTGCTCTTAAATAACCGTCTTGTCTTGTCTTTTACAATGACCTGCTGTTCTAGTATGAGCTCACTGTTATTATGCCCCGTTATGAATGCTCTTTAGTTTGTGTGCATTGTGTGGGATTTGTCAGTGGGCAGAAATACAGGCATGGTTAAAGGCTTGGCAAACATTCAAGTGATTACAACAAAGCTCTGGGAATTAAATCAGTTAAACATGTTTCTTTTTTGGTTTAGTAGCTCAATATAAATTATTTCAAATGTGATTTTTTTTGGCAGCTTTGTTTTAATAGAGTCGGAAGTCATTGATCCGCTCAGTGTGAGTAATCCATAGGGTACAGAACATAATGACCACACAAATGAAATAACAGATTAGGAATAAAGTGCCACAACAAAACTTTTGTAACAATATGGCGCTGTGTAACCATGTGAAAAGCTCATTTCACATTTCCTTTTATGGGCTCTATGTTACCAAAATAATATTTATTTAATTATGAAGTACTTTCTAAACTTAAAAAACAAACACTTGATTTTTTGTTAATGAGGGAACATTTTCTATTTTTGCTCCGTCCCATTAACATTTAAACCTAGATTTTAAAGTGCATTGTTGATTATATTATAACTTTTTATTTTATTTTTAATACATTGTATAGTATGTGTGGTGTGTGTGTGTGTGTATGTATATATCTGTGTGTGTGTGTATATAATTTATTTTTTAATTAATTTTATTAGCATACAGTTAAGACTTGAGACTATACGCAACAGAAGTCATATACTCAAGATTGTATTTTAGATATATATATATATATATAGCTAAAAAATAAATGTAAAGTCTAATATATCTATCAATCCATCTGAACCACATTTCCAAGTGCTTATATTGATGTTTCTGTAATGTCTTGTGCTTTTGCATGTCTGTTACAGCACAATGCATTCTATTGTGTATTCTTGAAGGAAAGCTTGTCCTTGTTCAAGAAATAAGCTGAACCTTCTATGTAAAGAAGTGGCAGCCCAGTTAAATGTTTAGAAACATGAAACATTGTTTGTTGCACTTAACTAGAGAAAACACACAAAGAAATCTCAAATCTCAGGGTTTACATTCTAGCCCCTGTTACATTGTTTACATTTTTTTGGTCACACAGCCATAAATCACAATAATTTGATGGTGTCAGAAATTCACAGGGGTTTTTATAGCATGTAAGATTTAAATCCCTGTTTTAACATGTGACCTATTTTCACACTATATTTCTAACAAGTACACAACACTCTAAAGGACTGTTTTAAAAATCTCACGTTTGAAAAGCAACCAATTATTGTTTGGCTTTGATTTTTAAAGTTTAATGTTTTGAGTATTTCATATATAAAATATATGTGGTGAGTATGTCTTGGTGAGCATATGGCGGACATCAAGATATAGTGTCATAGTTATAGAGTAAGTAATATAAACTTTAAAAAAAAGGCGGCTATAGTGCCAGAAATACAGCTTTGCATTCCTGCCACTATAATATCCCTTTTAATGAATAGGTTATCAGAGAGTTGTTTGTATTGGCCCTTTATATATTTCTATAATGCTATCTCATCCTACCTGAATTTTATCATTTTGTGCATAACTAAAATCTAACGGTTCCCTACTGAGTTTTATAGTCTACCTCTGTACCATTTTAGCTCCATAATATCCTGCTTGAAAACAGGTGCCCAAAAGGTGAGACAAGATTATATTTTGCCCCATAATTACCCCTTTTATGCATGACAATACTTAGTAGCTGCTACCTGGCATTTCATGTTTCTCCCTAGTCTCTTGTTTATAATTATTTACAATTCCTTTTCACTTATTGTTTTCTCTTTTTATTGTATTCATTTCTTGTGCATTCCTCACCAGATTATGCATAACTTTGCACCCCTATTATGATGCATGATTATTTGTTTTAGAAATAGAACAAAAGAACACTTCAAGCACCATGACCGCTACAACACACTGTGCTCTGGCCGTCCCCCCAAAAGAAGCCATTTCAGAATTGTTTGTTTTACTTGGAGTCCCCAGGTCAGAAATCAGTTTGACTACTTGTAACGGAGCTTCCCGTACTCCGACCGAGTACCCTCCATTGATGGACGCTTCCTAGCTTGCGCCGAGGACCACAAGCACCACACCAGACACCACAACCACCGCAGACTCCGCTACCGCTGTAGCTTGACTGGAGTCTCGCCATCTTCATTCCACCCTGGATCAGCTTCTGTCCTCCAGGACCGTGTGGGAAAGATGTAGCCACTCTGACTCCCTCCTCTCCTCTTCTCTTGCGGCTCTCAGTGATTACTGGGAGGAAGTGACCGGGGCAGTCACTTCCTTTTATCACTCTGATCTCATTACAGGGGATCCAGTCACGCTATAAAGCGCCGCAACACTGACCAGGACCATGAAGACATATTGGAAAAAGAGAAAGAAAACAGCGCTAAATTGCCACAATAAAATTATAAGAAAGGCAGCAATCCTCAAAGGGGAGTCCCCAATAATCCCCTAATGATAACAAATAGCAAGAACAAACATAGATATAAGGATGCGCCTAAAACTTGATAAAATAAAAGACTAAATTAGTCAGATAAAATACAGAATAAAATAAGTAATAAAACAATAGTCCAATAAAATAGGCTTATCACAGTCCGTGAGGGTAGGTCCCACTTGTAAAGGAATATTCTTTAGGGTGTAGGTGGGATCATATCTTCAAATGTTGAGAATTCAGCATATGTGGAGAGAAAAATAAAAACAGGACTCCAATGGCACAGTAGATCGGTGTATAAAATAAATATAAAGGTATAAAATCAGTCTTACTCACACTTTTCAGAGCTAGGATCAGCTCTGATATTGCTCGCGTAAAGTGGAATAATCCCCACTTCAAGGATATATGGAGTAAATGTTGATTGTTGAATATCTGACGTGGGTTCAGCGTTCAATTTGACGTGATACGACCCAGAGGAAAAATGAAATAAAATATATAGTGCTCACTGTATGTAATAAAATTAACAGAAAGTAAAGTATACTACTCACGTAAAATAGAGCAGACTCAAAACTGCTCAGTGAAGGCGCTCAGGTGGTATAATCCCCACCTATGGATTCTTTGCACTTCCTGCAGGGTGAGTCGTATACGTAAAAGCAATAAAAGAAAATGTATGTAAAATCAGGTAAAGCAAATGGCAATAAAGTATTTTATGCCAATAAAATATCTTTATTATAGAGTTAAGAACAAAATCTATTAGTATCTAAACGCGTTTCGCCTTAACAGGCTTCTTCAAGTTTCCCACTATCTACTTGAAGAAGCCTGTTAAGGCGAAACGCGTTTAGATACTAATAGATTTTGTTCTTAACTCTATAATAAAGATATTTTATTGGCATAAAATACTTTATTGCCATTTGCTTTACCTGATTTTACATACATTTTCTTTTATTGCTTTTACGTATACGGCTCACCCTGCAGGAAGTGCAAAGAATCCATAGGTGGGGATTATACCACCTGAGCGCCTTCACTGAGCAGTTTTGAGTCTGCTCTATTTTACGTGAGTAGTATACTTTACTTTCTGTTAATTTTATTACATACAGTGAGCACTATATATTTTATTTCATTTTTCCTCTGGGTCGTATCACGTCAAATTGAACGCTGAACCCACGTCAGATATTCAACAATCAACATTTACTCCATATATCCTTGAAGTGGGGATTATTCCACTTTACGCGAGCAATATCAGAGCTGATCCTAGCTCTGAAAAGTGTGAGTAAGACTGATTTTATACCTTTATATTTATTTTATACACCGATCTACTGTGCCATTGGAGTCCTGTTTTTATTTTTCTCTCCACATATGCTGAATTCTCAACATTTGAAGATATGATCCCACCTACACCATGAAGACATATGTCTAACAGCTTGTGCCACCCTATGGGCCACTGAATGCGTGGCCTCCTGGAGTGACAGGCCCAGTAGAGTGACAAGCTCAATTGCAGCGGTAAGTCTGTCACTGACTGTGCCATTTTTAGCTGCATTGTGTATGTGGGAACCATTCAGTGATGGGGATACCTGATAAGTGGTCCAGTCAGGAGCTGGGGACCTTTAATGGTGCAACTAGCTTCCTGTCAGATCACCAGTTCTGGGAGGATGTGGATTCAGGTAACTTTCTCACAGCTTAGAGTGAAAGCCGAGCAAGCTAAGCAGGATCCCAGGGAGCATCAACCTCAGCCAGCAGTCTCACTGGGCCCCAAGGTAGCCAACCTCCTGTACCCAAAAGTTATGGAATCAGAAGGGTGATTAAAAATGTTTAAATAACTTTTATGTATGTATGTATTTGTCAGTGTGCATGTGTATCGGCGTGAGTATATTTGTACATAACTTACTTTGATAAAGCCTGAAGTAAACGAAAAAAGAAAAAGATCAGTGCTCAATTGCCACACAAATAAATAGTAAGAAGGCAGCACTCCTCAAAGGGGAGTCCACTATAATCCCCTAGTAATAAGAAGACACAAAACAAACAAAAAGGATAAGGGTGCGCCTAAAATGTATAATAAAATATATAGAGAGTATAAAATATTAAAAATTATAAAATTGAAATATAAAAATTATAAGCAATAGTCCAAAACACTTATCAAGAGTTCATAATGGTAAGTTCTTCTTGTAGAGACAGGGATTCTTGAGACGTGAGATGGAGTTGAATCTTCACAGTGATATGCTTAGAATCCAGTGAGGCATATATAAAAGGAAAACAGAAACAGGACTCCAATGGTACAGTATATAGATGAAAATTTAAGTTCTAAAATAGTGAAAATAGTCTTACTCACACTTTTCAGAGCTAGAACCTAGCTCTGATATTTTGCGCGTGAAGTGGAATAATCCCCACTCAAGGATATGCAGAGTAGTATTTGATTGGAGAATTTCTAGCCCAGGTTCGGCGTTTGAATTGATATTATTCGACCCAAAACGAGAGGATAAGAATATAGTGCCCTCTGTATATAATTAAACATTTTAAAAATGTAAAGTAAATTACTCACATTATATAGAGCAGACTTGTACTGCTCGGTGTGAACGCTTGGGTGGTATAATCCCCACCTATGGATTCTTTGAGCTTCTTGTAGATGTTAGGTCAGGTGCAAAAATAAAATAAAATAAAGAAAAAATGGCAATAAAGTGTTTTATGCCAAAGTAAATTCTTTATTATAAATAAGTAAAATAAAATAGTATAGTTATGCATTATACATTATTTTCAACTCTGGATTTTCATTTAAATTTATTGCAAAATACTGTTTTTTTTTTTTTGTTTTTTTTTGGTAGGGAACATACCTAAATCTTGTGGATTGAGCAAATGTCTTGTAAGTACATTCTCATATTTTCACTACTAGTTTCCATTGCAGTGTGCACTATTTATTTCTCTTTTTCCATGCCATACCCCGTTCACCAATATATCCTAAAATGAGGACTATGTGACTAATCAAAAGAATTAGTTATCAAGTCCTCATTTTAGGATTATAAAAAAAAAAAGATAATAAAAATGAGCCAGTTTTGGGCTCCTTATCATGTGAGTGAACATTCTTCTTTTTATTCATTCATTTAGTATCGTTTCAATATACTAAGCTATATTGATTTTGCTTTATCTTCTATATTTCGTGGAGCATTAAGCCAGTATCAAAATTGCCCCTACATCCACATGCAGGAATTGTTCCGCTTAAGTTCATATGTTGGAGCTACATTACATCTCCAAATAGTGTGCATCTGAATCCTTCCTCCATATTATTTGATCATACTACACTATTGGTTTTTATCCATGTCCTATTTTTTTGTTTCTTGTTATTACACTTAAGGGTATTTAAAGTTCTACTCTCACCTCTTCTTCAAGTACTTTTCCTATCTACCAGAGGATAGGGACCCCAGTTAGGGTTGTTCTGCTATCTCACCAGCATAGTCTGCAGCGCTTGACCACTTGTTTTTAATTTTAAATGTGTATGTGTTTATCTGTGCATGTAGTAGTGTAAGTGTTTTTATGTGTATACATCTGAGTATTCAAACTTCAACACTACACTCAAACACACCTGTGATACACTCCCCTTTCCTAGTGAGTTTGCCACGAGCTCCTGGAAGAGCCTGCTTGCTAGCCTCCTGTCCACAGACTGTGGGCCCTGCAGGGAAACCTGTAAAAGACTATTTAACTGGCTTGGTTTCTGTGATTCCCCCATGCTGTTCCAGAACCGAATCGCAGCACGAACTATAGACCACCCAGGAGCTTGTTAAGCCTAATAGATACACTGTAACAGTCATAACCGCAGTGTTCTAATGGTTCATCTGGGTGGTGGCCATCTTGTTCGCACAAACACAGGCAGCGGTGTTTGGTTGTCAAGTTCATGGAACTAAAAACAGACACTGAAGCTCCCGAACACCGCTGGACTCCCATGATCGCTGCGTTTGGTTTTATATAGCTTTGAAGAACACTGTTCTTTGGGATCATTTGTCTGGATGAAGGGAACAAGCTCCACGGTATGTCAATGGATTCTGTTTGGTAGCTTGTTCTCTTTTAAACTACTGAACTTGACCGACCACTACCACTTTTTCCCTGGAACTATTTTGGGCAGGAGCCTCGTGTGCGGTCGGTCAAATTTTGACTTCCATGGAAATCCCAAACCCCTGAACCGATCTGGGTGATGTTTGGAGATGTTGGTCACCCAGATCAGGACTGTTGGGGGATATAACTTTTGTCGGGTTTTCATGTAGTTAAAAGTACTTTTGAAATGTCTGTGAAATGTGTTTTTTTTGTGCCTGGAGATAATTGAGTTTGTACAGTTCCTGACTCAATTATCTCCTAGGCATAGGGGAGGGATTATCCTTTTTTGTGTGGGAGTGTCATGGGCGTGCTTGTCTGTGTTCAGAAATGTATAAAAGCAGGCCATCTGGCCAGATTAAAATATTCCAGCTTGTACTCCCACAACTATGTGTCATCTGGTTACTGCGAGGGGAAAGGGCTTGTTCCAGTGTGGAGGATTCAACAGGCAAAGTCCTTGTAAGAACTAGAGCTCCCAGTACTGAGTGTTGTCCAGTGCCTGGGAGTGGATAGAGTGAGTTCCCAATTCGGCTCCAGGATGGAGAGGTTCCAGGACCCCAGTCAAGACATGGCGACTGGGGGCAGGAGTGCTGAGGTTTGTCCCCTGTTCCAGCTAGGAAGCAGTCCTTTGTAGAGGTACCCAGCCCTGTATTCTAAACACCAACATTTCATACAAATACACCCCTTTAATCAAACGGCAACACCATACAAACTACATTCAAATACACTCTGCAGTCAAACATCAAGCTGCACACTAACATCAACACTACACACAAATTCACACACCTACACCATATAAAAATATGCTTACGTTCAAACATAGAGAAACTGCTCACAAATATAACTCTGCAAGGATGAGCAAAATGTAAATCCCCCCCAGCTTCAAAGTATCGTGGGAGTTGTACTATATTCAAGGGTCAACCTTTTAGTCACAATTGCATGACAGGGAGACCCTAAAAATGTAAGGTGCCAAGGCCTTCCTTGTATTAATGGAATAAATGGTCACAGATTTTAATTACAGCTTGCATGCATAACCTCTCATGTTCTAATAATCCAGTAAAAATTATGATTGATAAAGGAGTGGCTGGGATATCTCATCTAATGCCTCTCTTCAGTGAGATACAGAGAGCAGAAGAAAATCCCATGAACTGGCATAAAGGAACCTTGTGAGGGATCATTTTCTTTCTAGAATGTATTACCAGTTTAAGAAATTACATTTACTTCAAGGGGGGAGATACTTAGGGGATGTTTGTATTTGCGTGTGTGTAGTAGTTTTGAAAAAAAATGTTTTTGAGTGCAAATCAACTGCTATTTAGAAATAGTTAGAAGAAAAAGGAGAAAAACACTACTTTTGAGTCCTTAAAACGCACATATTCGCGCCCCCCTTTTAAATTAAGATAATGTTTTTTGCTAGACAGGAGGTGAAAACTGAGGCTTTAAATATGACCACCAGATAGTCCCTCAAATGTTTGGTCCCCTGGTGATACATATCTCGTTTTCATCACCCTAATGGCATTACTTTAAAAAAAAAAAATAATGGGGGGGGGGTTAATCTGTATCTCTATTTTCTGATCTCTGAAATTGATTTGATTAGCTAAATACTTACTATTGATTGCTAGTTAATTAGCTTTTGTTTGCAAATAAGCATAGGCCTACCCAGGTGTTAAACATTCCTAGTGGGTGGTGATTTTAGGAGTTATATAAGGGTTGTTGTCATTAGCTTGGCTAATATAGCTTGGTTGCTTCATCTAAGTGTTGATTCTAAGTGTGTGGTTGGAGATATTCTGGAGAGTTTTACAGAAGCTTCAACTGTCTAAGAGTTGTGCTAAGGGTTTTCTTTTCTACTGTTACAGGTAAGATTCATCTGTAGGAAAAGGTTACTGATTGTACAAGGTTCGATTTTCTGTTGGTATTTGGTAAGGCATTTGATTTGATTAGCTAAATACTTGCTATTGATTGGTTAATTAGCTATTGTTTGCAAATACGTATTTGTAATATTGTTAAGTGAGCAAAGCAGGAAGGGGAATTCGATGTACTTGTCCATCTAGGGACAAATGTCTTGGCTTGCAATGAGGTTTCAGAGGTTAAGGAAGTTTTTAGTGTTTTTGCCAATGATATACGACAGGTTGCTTCCACACTGTCATTCTCTGAAGTTCTGCCTGTGCAGAACACTCAGAACGATAGGCGGATGCGTATTAGGGACTTTGTGGCTTGGTGAATTGTGTCGGGAGCAAGGATTTGGCTTTATTTCTCATGGTATCTCTGTTTGGAATGGAAATAAACTGTACAAAAAAGATGGTTTGCATCTTTCTCAAAAGGGAACAAATGTTCTCAGTGAGCAGTTCAGAGGTTTTGCTAGGATGTGTTTAAACTAGGGGGGAGGGGCAAAAGGGTGATAAAACATCAATCCAATTGCCCCCCAAAACAAGGACAGAAGGTGCCTGTAGCAAGTGTGTTAAAAAATGATAAGCTTAGAGTCATGGTTACAAATGCTCACAGTTTAGGAAATAAGATCCATGAACTTGTGGTAATAATGGCAACTGATAATGTATATTTAGTCGCTGTTACTGAGACATGGTATAATGAGAAAAATGACTGGGACATAGCAATACCAGGGTACTCTTTTTATATAGAAGAGACAGGGAAGGCAAGAAAGGGGGAGGGGTGGCCCTGTATGTGAAAGATAGCATAAAATCTAGCCTAATAAAAGTTAATGAGGCGAACATAGTCTGTTTGGGTTACGTTAGAATTTGGTAATCACACAGTAAATCGCGTAGGTGTGATTTATAGGCCCCCAGGACAAATAGAAGAGTTAGATAATCTACTAGTTGAGGAAATAACTAAAATGACAATGAAGGGGGAAGTTATCATCATGGGTGACTTTAATCTTCCTGATGTAAATTGGAAAACAAAATTAGCTACTTGTGCCAGGAGCACACATATTCTAAACTTCCTACTGGGATTGTCTCTAAAACAAGTCGTTGAGGAGCCAACTCGTAAAGAGGCCATACGAGATTTAGTGTTAACAAATGGAGATTTGGTATCAGATATTACTGTAGGTGAAAGTTTAGGATCCAGTGATCATAAGTCAGTGTGGTTTAATATAAGAACAGTGACTGAGTCACACCACACAAAAAAACAAACGTTTTAGACTTAAAAAAACAGACTTTTCTAAAATTAGAATATGTGTAAAGGAGTCATTATCAGTCTGGAGCAATTTAAATGGAGTCCAAGAGAAATTGGATTATTTAAAAGTTGCACTGATGAAGGCAACAGAAAATTGCATTAGGCTTGTCAGTAAAAGCAAAAAATTCAAGAAACCACTGTGGTACTTTGCAGATGTTGCCAAAATAGTAAAAAACTAAAAGTTAGCATTTAGTAATTATAAAAAAACACAGAGTGAGGAAGATAGAATGATCTATAAGATTAGGCAGAAAGAGGCTAAGCAAGTTATAAGAGCTTCCAAATCACACACAGAAGAGAAAATAGCACAGTCAGTAAAAAAAGGGACAAAACATTTTTTACATACATAAATGAGAAAAGTAAAGTAAAACAAGGATTAGTTAGATTAAAAACAAAAGAAGGAAGGTATGTAGAAGAGGATAAAGGTCTAGCTGACTGCCTCAATGAATATTTTTGTTCAGTATTTACAGATGAAAATGAAGGAAAGGCCTCAGTTAGGAAAAAGGACACATGAGTAATTTATTACATGTGAGTTTACAGAGGAAGAGGTTCTATTTTTTGATTGGGTAACTAAAATAATAGATCAGGGTGGTGCAGTAGACATTGCTTACCTAGATTTCAGTAAGGCTTTTGACACTGTTGCACATAGAAGTCTTATCAATACATTGCAATCTTTAAGTTTGGATTCCAATATTGTTGAATGGGTAAGGCAATGGCTGAGTGACAGGCAACAAAGGTTTGTAGTCAATGGAGTATATTCAAAGCTTGGGTTCGTCACCAGTGGGGTACCTCAGGGATCTTTTTATTAGTGATATTGCAGACGGTCTTGATGGTAAGGTATGTCTTTTTGCTGATGATACTAAGGTATGTAACAGGGTTAATGTTCCAGGAGGGATTAGTCAAATGGCAAATGATTTAGGTAAACTAGAAAAATGGTCAGAGTTGTGGCAACTGACATTTAATGTGGATAAGTGCAAGATAATGCATCTTGGACGTAAAAACCCAAGGGCAGAGTACAGAATATTTGATAGAGTCCTAACCTCAACATCTGAGGAAAGGGATTTAGGGGTGATTATTTCTGATGACTTAAAGGTATGCAGACAATGTAATAGAGCAGCAGGAAATGCTAGCAGAATGCTTGGCTGTATAGGGAGAGGTATTAGCATTAGAAAGAGGGAAGTGCCTATCCCATTGTACAGAACACTGGTGAGACCTCACTTGGAGTATTGTACACAGTACTGGAGACCGTATCTTCAGAAGGATATTGATACCTTAGAGAGGGTTCAGAGAAGGGCTACTAAACTGGTTCATGGATTGCGGGATAAAACTTACCAGGAAAGGTTAAAGGATCTTAACATGTATAGCTTGGAGGAAAGACGAGACAGGGGGGATATGATAGAAACATTTAAATATATAAAGGGAATCAACACAGTAAAGGAGGAGACTATATTTAAAAGAAGAAAAACTACCACAACAAGAGGACATAGTCTTAAATTAGAGGGACAAAGGTTTAAAAATAATATCAGGAAGTATTACTTTACTGAGAGGGTAGTGGATGCATGGAATAGCCTTCCAGCTGAAGTGGTAGATGTTAACACAGTAAAGGAGTTTAAGCATGTGTGGGATAGGCATAAGGCTATCCTAATTTTAAGATAAGGCTAAGGAATAATGAAAGTATTTAGAAAATTGGGCGGACTAGATGGGCCGACTGGTTCTTATCTGCCGTCACATTCTATATAGTTGTAACATGCTGCACAGATTCTTAAAAAAATATAGCATACTGTTTTAGATAATGTTTTCTGCAACTATATAATTCATAGATGTCTAAATTTTTTTTAAAAAATGTTTAATTATCAAAGTTAACATTTATATATAATCTTTTCATGGAGTGTCATTCTTTAAATCTGATCAACAAAATATTCATGTTAGAATGACTTGCATTTGTAGCTCTTGGTTCATAAAAGACAATCACAGTTTGTGGTCCCTGGATAATAGCAAAATGGCCACTATAGTTCCCCTTGGTGTGCACCTAAAGAACTTTTTTAGAATGGGTTGACAACTTACCTGGGTTAGCTGGGCACCTATGCTGCATCTGGTCAACACCTGCAGAACATGTTCATTGAACGATACAGGACCTTGCACATTGATGAGATGTTTTAGCTGGCATTTTAAGCCAATAAGTGTGGCCTACTTCGCTCAGGGGAGCAAACTTTATTCTCCTACAAGGAGAATATGGAAGCTGGCTCTGTAGCTACGGGGACCCGGAAGGACCCTGGTAAATGTTTCGACTGTCCTAAAATGGTTTGACAGATTACTCAGGGTGGGTACAAAGACACTGCCTGCTGTTGTAGATGCTTGGAGTGTCCCTTTAATGTATTTTCTTGAAAATTTTTATGACGGTTCCTCTCTCTAATTATTGTGTATGTATCCTTTTAAAATGTAAAAAATGATTATAATGATATATAGAGATTGGAAGATTAATCCTGGTCATGCTGGGTAAAAAAAAGTCTGCTTATTTGGTTGGCATTTTGTACATGTGTAAAGAGATAATATACAGTTCTTTTACTCTATCTCGGTGTTACATCAAACCTAGCTAGGTACGAGATATATATTTTCGATAAAAAGTGTGAAGAAAGATAATTATATTTATTTATTTTTTAAGCTGTTTTTTTTCTTTTCTTAATATTTTGTAAATTTCAAAGTAGGTGTTTAATTATAATGAGAAGCAAATTATTAATGCCATGGTTTATACAAAAAAACTAAAATACCCGGTTTGTGTGACACGATCATGGTGGCATGTAGAATAATAAAGATGCATACATAGCAAAATCAAACGGCAGATATCCTGCTCACATTTCTGTAGTTTATCAGTTTTTTTCCCCCTTCCAAAAATGGTCCTTTTAACTAATCATGTGTTTGTAATCAAACAAAAATGTTAAAATGTGCATTGCCTATCTGCATTTTCCTTTATGACTTTTTGAGTTTGTTATGGTAACCGCATATTTGCAGATCTGTGCTGTGTACAGGGATTAAAAAATAAATAAAATATATATATTTTTTTTTATTCTCTATATTTGTGTACTCTGTTTACGCTTTTCCTCACCTCTGTTAAAAGTAACATCCTGATTTGTGTACTGTCCCGAGCCACAAAATACTAATCTGGAATTTTTTGTTCCTTTTTTGTTTATATTTAGCTGGCCGATGGAGGAGTCTCTTTTCCACTCCTGTTTCCATGTCTTTTCCATATAGTCCTGTTGCGAGACTCACTCCGTATTGCAATGGCTTAAATTCTCCCAGCATCCTTAAAAACCCAACTAAAGCAATACTAACACCTGAGAAGACAGGTAATGCTTCCAACTTCTTTTATGTACACTTTTCCATCATATATATTTTACCGTATACGGTGAACTAGGGGAGAGGGGGGAAACAACAAAAACATTTCCCCCCCTTACATCTCATTTTTTAAATCACATCACATTTCGGGATCATTGGTCCATTTTGGTTTAGCCTAATATGGGTTCCAAGTTTCACTGCATTACAATCCGTTTATGGTGCCAATTTGTATCCTGATCATATTAATTATGTAACTCCATAAATTGTCATTTAATGCTTTATTTAATGTTTTAGTTAACATATAATGCAAGTGTTACCATTATAATTATAGGTCCATTTTCAGAAATGCTTCCAGGTTCCACTGCTGGGACACAGGTTGGATTGCCTTGGAAGTTAAAATATTCCCACACATAGACTGCTGGGAAATTGTAGGCCTCATACCCACGCTAGAACACCCAACATACCTGGGTGTGTTTGAAGGTATTGGCTGTGGTGTCAAGAATCCTCTTCTATGTAACTGTATGGGTCAAATTAAGGACTAACCCACGCTATTACATCAATTTGTAGTATCCTGTGTACTATCTTAAATATAATTTTTAGTCTTTTTATGTACTTGTACTGACTGCACACTTATATAAAGAGATCAGAAAATACATGTAAAACCAGCATTCATCTGCTGTGTAACCTGAGTGGGGAAAATACATATGAATTTAAAGAGAGCTTTTTTTATTTTACATTTTACATTTTACATTTTTTTTAAAAGAATACATGTTAAGTGTTGGAGAGAATGAATGTTGCTATCTGTTCTTGAGATGACATACAGTTGTGCTCAAAAGTTTACCTTTCTTGGAGAATTGGTAATAAATGTACAATTTTTAAAGAAAACGTGAGTGAGCAGGCAAAACACATTTCTTTTATTGCTTATCTTCAACTGTAGGTTATAACAGAATGGCACAATCATAAAACAAAACATGTCAACAAAGAAAAAAACGGAAATTACCCCTGTTCAAAAGTCTGCATAACCTTAGTTCTTAATACTGTGTATTACCCCCTTTAGCATCATATATATAGCTGCCCATTCGTCTTGGCAAAATGCCTTCAGGTCATGCAAAGTCTTTGGTCGTCTTGCATGAACCGTACGTTTGAGATATCTCCAGAGTGGATCAATGATATTAAGGTTAGGACACAGTGATGGTCACTCCAACACCTTCACCTTTTTCTGCTGTAGCTAGTGACTGGTGGGTCAACTTGTCCTTGTGCTTAGGGTGATTGTCATGCTGGAATGTCAAAGAGCAGCCCCTGTGCAGAAGAATGCAAATTGTCTGCCAGTATTTTCTTATTACATGCTGCATTCATCTTGCCATCAGTTTTCACAAGTTTCCCCTTGCCTTTAGGACTCACCCTCACCACCCCCCAAAACATCTGAGAGTCACCACCATGCTTCACAGTGGGGATGGTATTCTTTTCACTATAGGCCTTGTTGACTCCTCTCCAAACATAGCGCTTATGGTTGTGACCATAAAGCTCTATTTTGGTCTCGTCACTCCAAATTATAATGTTCTAGTAGCTGTGAGGCGTGTCAAGGTGCTGTTGGGCATATTGTAACCAGACTTTTTGTGGCATTGGCACAGTAAAGGCTTCTTTATGGCAACTTAAATAATGCAGCTCATTTTTGTTCAAGTATCGTCATATTTTGCTCCTTAACCCCCTAAGGACCAAACTTCTGGAATAAAAGGGAATCATGACATGTCATGTGCCCTTATGGGGTTAAAACAACCACATTGTCTTTTTCCAGAGCAGCCTATTTTTCTTCTGAGGTTACCTGTGGGTTTTTCTTTTTATCCCAAACAATTATTCTGCAGTTGTGGCTGAAATCTTTCTTGGTTTACATGACCTTGGCTTGGTATCAAGAGATCCTTGAATTTTCCACTACTATAAGTGATTGAACAGTACTTTCATTTTCAAGGCTTTGGATATCTTTTTATATCCTTTTCCATCTTTATAAAGTTCCATTACCTTGTTACACAGATCTTTTGGTAGTTCTTTTCTGCTCCCCATGGTTCAGTATCTAGCCTGCTAAGTGCATCCATGTGAGAGCTAACAAACTCATTGACTAGTTATAGACACACAAATTGCAATTTAAAAAGCCACAGGTGTGGGAAATTAACCTTTGATTGCAATTTTAACCTATGTGTGTCACTTTGTGTGTCTGTAACAAGGCCAAACATTCAAGGGTATGTAAACTTTTGATCAGGGCTAGTTGGGTGATTTCTGTTATCATTATGATTTAAAAAGGAGCCAAACAACTATGTTATAATAAATGGCTTAATATGATTATTATTCTATAATAAAATAAATATTTTTGCATGATCATTCATGTTTTCAAAATCAATGCCAAAATCTCACAATTTCTGCTGGTTATGCAAACTTTTGAGCACAACTGTATAGTTATATGTGTATACCTCAACTTTTTTAATCGGTGGCTGTTATGAGATATTTTAAGCTACTTACTAATAAGCAGAATAAATGTATTTTACTAGCACAGACTGATTTCTAAACAAATTGTTGTAGTTCAAATACCTATTACTGAGGGTTTTATTGCTGTGGTGCTTTGTTATACACTCACACACCAACAATTTTGAGCTCATCGAAAAGAGGGGTATTACAATAGAAAAGAGGAACAGAAGGATATGGGCACAAAATAGAAAGTACCTCCTAAATGGGGGCACTTGGGTGGAATGCATCTGAATAGTGTACCTCCTAAATGGGGACACTTGGGTGGAATGCATCTGAATAGTGTACCTCCTAAATGGGGACACTTTTTTTTATTTTTTTATTACTTGGCTGAACTTTGCTTTTGCTTTTCCTGTGTTAGGTTCCCAGACGGTGTATGTTAATACATTTGTTTGTAGTGCTACTTTTAATGTATTAAACTTCTGTTTTGTGATTTTTCTTTTTTATTTTCTTGAGACGAGTTAATCCTAGTTAATGATCTCTAGAGAGAACATCAACCTGCTGAAGTTGACCTTTTTATTCAGTAATGTAGCCATTACCATTTGTATGTTTCTCGAAATGCACCATTTTACGGTCTGTATTCCACAAGTATGCATCATGCAGCATTTAGTGCTTAGTAATTAACACATCTTAAGAAGTATCAATATTTTAATTGGGTCTACTGAGTTCTGAAAACCATTACATCGCAGCTGAACTACTTGTCTTTATGTGATCATATCTGAATAATGAGTCTCGTTCATTAGTAGTAATGATTGGGATTGATGTAGAAAATGTATCTTACAAAATATCTATTTTCATCTGCTCCCTATATATTAGTCTCACTCTTAGCACCCGCAGGATGTGGTGTGATATCTGTCCTTACACCCCATGTGACTGTATTTACACTATGTCAGTGATTGGAGCACAGAAACACCGCTTGCTCCCCTGCTAGACACTAGGGAAGCAGCCACCCTTTACCACCACCATTATACGTAAATGGTCAATAACCTCTGGGTTTACACTGACTTCACTTGTGTTCTTAAACCCTTTAAAGTGTCAGACAGTCAGTGTAAACCTGGCGGTTAGTCACTTACACTGTGGTCACAACAGAAGTTATGAAAGGAAAAAGTAAAGTAAAAACTGTCTAATCTACAATCTACAATCACTAAATTATAAAGTCAACTAAATGTCCTGGGATGAACTTGTCTCTGGCACATCTCCAGCCACAACCCCTAAAGCGGAAAGTGTCTCTCTCAGCCATTTCAAATGTTGGAAAGTATGCTAACCTGGAATTGCAATTAAAGTAACACAGTAGGCACTGTAACTGCTTAATCTCACTGAAGTGGTTACAGTGTCTGGAATCCCCTAGTACCATCATTTAAGCTTTCAATGTTATATGAGAGTTCCCAGTAGCTCATCCCCCTGTGCAGCTCAGACTAGAGAGGAAGAATTGTGTTGCTGTGATTGGCTGAGAGTGTAAGCTGACCACTTCTATCTGTACCTGGTAAAATACATGTTCTCCCATGTTTGTGTTAAAGAGTTACTCCAACCCTTTTGAGGAGGGGGGCCTTACTGGTGTAAAATGCCATATTGGGCACTGTGGAGAAGATCCCCCATCTGTTTGTGGTACTACCCGCAAATAAAATGATTTTACTTACCTGAAATCCAGCACCGGGCCAGGCTCCCAGTGCAGACCTTCTGCGCACCTTCTCAGGTCACTGGGGCCTTGCACAGTCCAATTACACACACACAGAATTTTTTTTAAATTTTTTTTTTAAATACTGACGACAACTGTGGGAGGGAGAGGAAAGCAAGGGGAATATTTTTATGTCTGTCAGCAGTGTGCAGTGCCACTTGTGCCGAGGTTCAAGCTGAAACAGTGCATATACATACTGTTACCTCCATGACCACTTCAAATCACTGAAGTGGTCAAGGTGGTTCGAGTAACACTTTGAGAATAAGAAATGGTTTTACTTGCCTACCAGTGCCGACACACTATCTGCTGCCGACTTCTTCACTTCCCTTAGGAGGCATGGCCCAATCCAATGATCCTGCTAGAAGACCTGATGCGCATGTACGGGAGTGCTGCATGCGCATCTAAGCTTCCCCTTGGGAAAGCGGTCATAGCTACGCAAGCTCCTGTAGTGGCTGTATGTGTAGCAGCCAGTAGAGGACAATTTAAACCCTGCAATGTAAACACTGCGGTTTCGGGGAAAAAAAAGACAACTGCAATGTGTTACATTTGCAGGGTTGCAACTAAAGGACCACTGCACCCAGGCACTTAATTGAGATGAAATGGCCTAGGCTACTTCAGTTTTCCTTTGAGATTTATACATTTTAAAAGAATCTGCATACTTGCCACAGGTGGCCGCCTCTCTCTTTATGTTGCTTTACATGCAGTCATTATGGCTATTTGCTCATAGCCCTGTTAAGCATTACATTCAGTTGGGTTTGATACAGCATTGATACTGTAAAAGGAAACTTTCACATAACCTCAACAATGGTATTCATTCAGAGCAGACATGCTCAACCCTTACAATACAGAAACTGTATTCTAAAGGAGTCTGTATAAACAGATATTGCTTTACAAATCAATAAAACAACTGTTTGAAAAGTAAATTGTTATTGCATTCCTTTACTTTGGCAAACCGCATCAGACATAGAGCATCAGGGAAGGAACTTGGGCTTCTTTGTGTGTTCCAATTAATGTTTTTCTTGTTTTGTAGTGCGAACACCTGCTGATTACTAAAACCTATTTTATGATAAAATGTGCATTGTTTTTACTCCCAACTATTTTAATGTAACCAGCATGGTCGCCAATTATATGATAATATTATGATAATTTGACATCTGTGTCCTGGTAATAGTAACCGTCTGTAAAATGTTCCTCTTAATTGGCCTTGAAAAATGGCCAGCAGGAGTTGTATGTGTGTTCAAGGTTCCATCAATTTCCCCAGTATGGTAGGATATATATTTACATTGTTTTGTTTATGTTTACAGCTATACTTTTTTTTTTTTTTTTCTAGGTTACCACTCTAAGGGTTCTGCTTTGAGCCCACAGTCTTCAGTAGACAGTGAACTGAGTACCTCTGAGCTGGAGGATGATTCAATCGCCATGGGATATAAGCTGCAAGACCTCACTGATGTTCAGATTATGGCTCGGTTACAGGAAGAAAGTAAGGGTTATATTGTCTACTACCTCTCTCACTATGGTCAGAAGATTTTTTATGTAAAACTGGTATACCCACATCCAGTGGATCATATGATTAGAAATGGGCATATAAGACTAGAGTAATGTTGCAAAAACTCTATCTATCTATCTATCTATCTATTTTTTAGATATATCCTTTTTTTTTTTTTTTATTGACTTTTAAGTAATCCTCATTTATGAACTGGCTTCCACTCATTAGATAAAATTACAGAAGATCTAAAAATAAGCAGTTAGTACAGAAAGACATATACGAGAAGTTTATTTTCTAGGTTTTGATTAGATTTATTTACCTGTGGGTAAATTAAATACATTTTAGTGAAAACGGAGTATGTTTCATAATGTGATGTATTTATTATTTTAGGCCTAAGGCAAGACTTTGCATCTACCTCCACTTGCAGTTCTGTGTCAAGACATCGCTCCAGCTTTTCACTATTCTCTGGGAAGAAAGTATCATGTATTAGTGATCAAGACTCCGACCGCTACAGTGTTGAAGATGATGATGAAGACTTTGATAATTTACCACCACCTCAGCCCCGACTCAGTCGTTGTTCCCCTCTACAGAGAGGAATTCCTCATTCACAGACTTTCTCTAGTATTCGGGACTGTAGAAAGAGTCCTAGCTCTCTCTATCTCAACTCAAATGGTTATCAGCAATACAGTTATACGTCACCAACCCAAACACCAGAGCAACCGCAGAACAGGATATATGGAGGTAAGACAGTAAGATCAAGGCTTCTGAAAACCATTTCAACGGAAATATATGCCTTACCTGTGAATTCACAGTTTTGTGTTCTGTATAGGTGTAGTATGTGCATAATTTATGGCATCACTTATGAAAAACTGCAATCATACTTGGACTGATTCAGGGCAAGACATTGAGCATCAAGCTCTTCTTTTTTTGTTTGATAAACCCAACATTCGGCTGATCAAATCCAACGTTCATTCCCTGCTATTCATGCAGGACCAAGACCATTTTCTGCAGTATCACCTAATTCAGACCTGTTTTGGTGCTATGTCTTCATATTCAGCCTCTTAATGAATAATATAAGTTTTGGATTAACATTTGGCACACTGCAAAGACTAACCTTAGCCTCTACCAGCAGAGTACAATAGGTTCAGATTGAAAATTGTAAGAGACCAATATCCAATTTGTTTCTTCCATCAAGGACGAACTTGCTGGAAGAGGTCTATTATTATAATCACTCAGTACAATGACGAAGCCTCCCCAGTAACTACAATTGCGGTTATAAAAGCCACATATCACGATATACACGCAACAAGTCTCTGTCAATAACGATAAAATCCAATTGAGTGCGTTTAGTAACCTGTGCTGCAAGAGACCTGTATCCACTAGTCTCTGCCAGCATTAGTAATAGCTTCTGCCAAACCTATTGCATTTCCAGTAAGCTCTATCCATTTTCTATTATAATAATAAACATTTAGGTCTAATCTTTTATTTACACCTTTGACCCAGTAACAATAATCTGGGTTTAAGAGACAGTTATCAAGATATTCATTCACAAGTCTCTGTCAGCAACAGCGAAGATCAAATTGGGTGTGACAAGTAACCTGTGCTGCAACAGACATTTATTCATGTGTCTTTTCTACCAATAACAATAGTTTCTGTGAAACTGACTACACTACATCATCAGTAAGCTAGAAATTTGAAACATTATTTCTCTGCTAGCAATAGCAATTTTTTACCTTAGGAGCCAGATTGCAACATAATAGCTATAGCCAATACAGTATACTTAATACAGTATATATTTTCTTGTGCACTCCCCAAGGTATCCTTACTTGAGGGATAGGACCTATACAAACAATCTTATTGGAATAACGCAATTACATTGCTGTAAGACCATAAAGCACCTTATTTTGCAAGGTATCTCTAGCTAAGGGAATGTATATAACGAGTAGAGGAGAGGAAGAGTCTGCGCTAACTCAATTGAGCAGCAACCCTAAAAGGGAATCCCTCACGAAACCCTTTGTGAAACAAGGAGGTACAAAACAAGGGATGAAGGGCTGCGCTTTAACTAAAATGAGTAAAAGGGATAAAAACAATTAAAGTTCATCCGAATAAATAAAAAATATATAAATTAAAACAGTCTCACTGGTGTGCAGTAATGTAATATAAGTCCTCAAGTGTCGCTCCGTCCTTATGATAGGTAGTCCATATATGTGAAGACAAAAATAAGAGAACAAGGCTTCCAATGGTGAAATATTGTATGTCCAAAATGTGGTATATATTCAAAGGAAAGGTGTTTAACTCACATTTGTTGGAGCTCTAACCAGCTCTAGGAGAAGAGGCACTTAGTGGTTTAATCCCCACTATCGGATATACTTAAACGGTTGGTCCGTTCGTCCGGCTTGAGGTTTCTTTGGTGTAGGCTAGGACCTACTCAGATGTGCGTATTCGTTATGCTGGGGAGATAGGTCCGCCTTTCTGGTGTTGAATAGTAGATGTCCACAAGATATATAAAACAGCAGATAGTGTTCTCAGTGTGAACAACACAGTAATATGTTAAAATAAGTTATACTTACAAAAATAGAGCAGACAAGTACTGCTCTATTGCCACAGCGCTGGTGGAATTATCCCCACCTCAGGATTTCTTTGGACGGGATATACTTCGGTAGTAAAAAATAGAATAGTAAAAGTATAATATAAAATAAAATAAAAATAATTGTAAAAATAATATAAAAATGCCAGGAGTAAAAATAAATAAAAAGTGTGTAAAGTACAATAAAAATAAGTATAAAGTTGGTCTTATAATGAAGGGTAACCAAAAATAACTTTTATTGACTAAAATACACTTATTACAACCATTTACGCGTTTCACCTTTAAGGTTTTTTCAAAATGGTAAAAAAATGTATATAAACACACTTATTATTTTTCACAGTTATCCACTTTTTATTTAGAACTAATAAAAGTTAAATCTTAATTCGTTATCTACACATTAGGTCTGGGCAAATCCTCCTCTTGCGTATATGAGGAAGCACATTTGTTTTGTAGGGAGTTCTCTCTTTTTAAAATTTTTATATCTAGGATGCGAGTCCAATAATTTAGTGGGGTTTTTTTTGTGTTTAGTTTTGAGTGTCTCTGTTTTGCTCAGCCCAAATGCAGTGGTTCCAATGAACTCTGGGAAACAATCTTTTTTTGGGGTGAATGATAGGGTGAAATGGTTAATAATAATTGTATGTCCAATGTTAAGTTATATGAATTTAAATGATTATCCTCAAAGGCTTATATAATTATATTCAACCATTAAGAGTTTTAAAATATACTTTAGTGTTCTTTTCTCTTTTTCTTTAAAAGCTAGGCTAAAGCACCTGTACAGACATTGTGGCTAAAACTAAAAGTTCATTCTAATTAGTTTATTTTTCTGTCTGCAGTTTATAACTGTAATGATGTACAAAAACAAGAAAGTCCTTTGGAATGATCTCATGCCCCAAGGAGTGTCCTAGTCATAAGAAAAATCTATTTACTATAAATGCATATTAACCGCAACAAAAAATAACTTTTGTTGTTGCTTGAAAGGAAAATGCATAGGTTTTGCAGCCATCATTGGCAATGACTGGTTTAGAGATTCCTGGCCAGTAGAGACCCTTGGTTTGCTCTCATTCAACACTACATCTGCCCTATTTGAAATCTATCTGATAGTGGCCTCCAGAGTATGGGGGCACCTATGGCAGGGGCAAGCAATAAAATGCTTCTCCGATAACAAATCCGCCTGTGAAATCATAAATAAGGGCAGATCTTCACTCACAATCATGAAACTTATCAGAAGGCCAACATGGTTAGCAGCTACGCTGCAATTCTCCATCACCTGCATACACATCCCAGGAAGCACCAATACAGCCGCTGACTCATTATCTCGATCTAATTTATAGGTCTTCTTCAGGACCTATCACACAGCCAACACCAGACCGGTCAGCACCCCCTCATTCCAAGACCTCATACTGTACTAGAAACACTGCTGTCACACAGCAGATATCTAGCCGGTGCAGCTCTCTCTACTAACACATCCCGTGCATACAATCGAGCATTTATCCTATATACCAAATTCACGACAGACTATCAGATAAGCGACACTCATTCACTGGATTCTATTATTGCATTCATCTCCTTTTGCCACCTTAACCTAAGATTATCATTAAACACAATAAAACTATATCTCACAGGTATTCAACACCACACCATTAGTGCCTATCCTAGCATTAACCACTTTATGTCTTCTTATCCTCTTCAGGCTTCCTATAGACGGTCCCAAATTTCTTGCACTCTCTGACATCTTGGACTCCAAACCATTCGAAACCAACACTAATCTTGTTATTAAAATGGCAGCTTATCTAGCCTTCTATGGTTTCCTATGACCAAATGACTTTGCCAATAGTATCGAGTGTAATCACCAGCACCTTAAAATTCCGAACCTCCAAAAAAATACAGACCACTTCGTACGCACCATGGATCACACCAAAACAAATCAGCTAGGTCCACCTACCAAAGTCTGCTATTATCCCATCAGTAATCAATGGTGCCCCTTCACATTATTTGACACTTATCTTTCTACCCTGGCGGGTCTCAGTCCTAATACGCCACTACTTTCATTACATGGTAACCCCTTGACCACAACAAAGTTCATACACTACATCAGAACTTTGTTCATCAGACTCGGTATTGACCCTTCAGGTTATTCTGGACACTCATTTAGAACTGGAGCCGCTTCTGTCCAGGCTCATATAATTTAAAGGCTAGGGTGGTGAAAATCTGCTGCATACGCCACTTATATCCCACAAGCAGAACAAGAATTAAGATAGGCATTAAAAGGTCTAGCAATGTAACTCATGTTTAATAAAGTTATTTGTTTACATCAACCGTTTTGCCCTCTTTTATTTCAGGCCTACCCCTATACGTCGGTTCCGGCACACAACAACCGACTGTTATTTTCTTATGTAGTTATCTTGCTATTACGGCTTATGTCCCCGACTACAAATAGATAGGCGTAGCCTGTAATTGTGGGAGGGGTTACCCGGCTATATAAGATCAGGCCCCCTCCTAATCAGAACCAGTATCGCTGGGTTCATCCCTCCCACCTCTCCCCTTTATCACTATTCATGGGTAGACCCTCTCTTATTTCAGGCCTACTACATACGTTGGTTCCGGCACACTACAACCGACTGTTATTTATGTAGTTATCTTGCTATTACGGCTTATGTCTCTGACTACAATTAATATTTAGTGCGCATTGGTGTGCATGTTTTGTATTGTGTGCTAGGCAAAAGCTGCTATAATTGAATAACCATAATTCAAGAGCCTTTTTTTGGGAGGTTGGGGATTACTCTGCATGCGTCATTAAGGCTGTCATTGTCAAATTCTCTTGTTTTTGCTTCCTAGATAAGCTCCGGAGAAGCATGCCTAATTTGGCTCGAATGTCAAGCACACCTTCTAGCACTGTGGTTTCTTCTCCAGTTACTGTACGCAACAGCCAAAGTTTTGATTCTAACCTGCATGGTGCTGCAAATGGCATTCCGAAACTGCAGTCAAGCAGTAAGTTTGTCAGTTATTAATATTTTACAAATAGACTCTTAATACCCCTCTTGGACCAAAATACACTTACACCGTGTAGTAATGGAAACAAATAAAATAAAAATACATTAAGTAACATTTATGTTGTAAATGGAAACCATTTCAAAGAACAAAAAAAATAAAAATAAAAAATCACAAAAATTTAGGAGATGACTATAATGTTAGGAATACAAAACTGTATTCCTAACATAATAGTGTCCCTCTGCCCTGCCGGACTCTCACGGCCCCCTGCAATTAAAGGCTTCAAAAACCTTTAAACACTGACACAATTCCAGTGCTAAAGACCCTCTGCACTGGCTCTGTCTCTGCCTCTTCTGATGTCGACCACAAATGGGAACCTAATGCGCATGCATGGCAGGTACTGTATCCAGCTTTGTTTCATGGAGCTAATGTCCATGTAAATGTAGGAATCCACTAGAGGTAGTCTTAACCCTCAAATGTAAACATTGCAATTTCTCTGAAACTGCAATGTTGTAAATTGCAGGATTGAAGGGACCAGGACACTGCACCCAGACCACTTCAATGAGATGGAGTGGTCTGGATGTCTATAATGTGCCTTTAAATGGAAAGAAATTATAGCCATTTATATGAAGACTTTTTAAAGTGAATTGGCATCATGCAGGCAAGCAATACCTCTTGGTAAATCTTTAATGTATTATTTTTATTCATAAAGCTCTTAAACATTAATTGCACTGTACATATAAGTAAGTGATTACAAATTCACACAATTGGATTCTAGGACAATTTGAGCCTTGCTCTCACCACTTCTTGACTCAAAGGAAGGTTGAGTATAAATGGCCATATGATGTTGAGTATATGATGTTGAGTAAGGTTAAGAAACACATTTACTTTTACACAATGAATCCTAATGGCAAAGAGATTGCTGTGGTCCGGTGTCCACGTTATACAGGATTTATATAAAACTATATGATAATATTATCTGTAGAGTTAAGAAGATAAAAATCGGATTAAGACAGAAAGTGGAAGGTGAGAAAAAAGAAGATTTCTGCAGGAATTCCTCATTGTTAAATTGATTTGCTTCCATAAGTAAGTGGGTTTTATTTATTATAGGTCTGAATCGTGGGAGGTCCCATTAGGGTACTACTAGTTCATTAACGCTCTCTATAAAGTTCTACATTTTCATCACATCAGTGTGAGCAGAGTAGAAATATATTTTTGCAGATATCTTGGTTATATAAAATACACCTTGTTGATTTAGAAGAATTTCGTAATAATATAAGTTTAGATTTAATTGGTTATGGCTGCCTTGGAGGTTTTTGTTGACTTTGAATACTGAGAAACAAAATGGATGTGAAAGCTAAAATGGCTGCAACAGTTCATAGCATACAATAAGCCTGTGGTTTTACTATCCACGCAAGTTTAAAGGACCACTATAGTGCCAGGAAAACAAACTCGCCCCACCCTCAGGGTCCCACTCCCGCCGGGCTGAAGGGGGTTAAATCCTTACTGTTCTCCAGTGCCGGGCTCCCTCGGTGCTGAGGACTCTCCTCCTCCTTCGGTCGTCATCGGCTGAACACGCATACGCGGCAAGAGCCGCGCGTGCATTCAGCCAGTCTCATAGGAAAGCATTCTCAATGCTTTTCCTATGGACGCTGGCGTCTTCTCACTGTGAAAATCCCAGTGAGAAGCGCGGAAGCGCCTCTAGCGGCTGTCAATGACACAGCCACTAGAGGCTGGATTAACCCAAATGTAAACATAGAGCTATGTTTACAGCAGGCAGGGTTAATTCTAGGTAGACCTGGCACCCAGACCACTTCATTAAGCTGGAGTGGTCTGGGTGCCTATAGTGGTCCTTTAATTTAAAACCTCTTGAATCTTGCAGATTTCAATAGAAATTGTCACATTTTATAAGTTAACCATGTTCCTTTCTTCTGGCGGTTAATAAGATATCCATTCCTGTTACTTCCTGATTGCTAAGCTCAATGTAGGTAAACTAAAGAGGCAACAATTGTTCTGAGCACCTGTGTTGCAAAGACTTTTGTAGGAAAGGGGGGGTTGTTAAAGCTGCTTACAGGAGATCTGCAGCTTTTGCATGCTGTTTTTAGCTATACACCATTGAAAGCATGCATTAATTTAATTGTATTTTCTTTCATTGTGGGTATATCTATTAGGTATCGTTGTTTTTGTTTGAATTTGGACAGTGGAATGCCACTTTGGTTTTGTTTTTTTTAACACTAGTGTCACGTACTTAAACAAATGTGCAAACATGATGTATTTTGGATAAAGAATTCTAGTATATATTTTAAAATAAATTGACATCAAGTTGTGTGTCCTGCTCAAACAAGCTTTCAATCTAAAGATTACAGGTAGGCGGATATATATTGTCTTGCCCAGGGACACTTTCTAGTGAGCTGGTCTAACCACGATAGTGCATCCCATCAGTATTTGGACAGTGACACAAGCCGGATTATGTAGTAAAGAGTGAATTGCCTGGAATTTAAAGTAAATTAACAAGGTTAATTTATAAAAATGCCAATTTTCATACTTTTTGAAAAAGTGAACAAACACTCTTCACACACAAAGCATGTCAGCAAGATTTTTAAATATATATATATATATATATATATATATTTTATGTAGTACAACTTGCTGACCTCTAGAGGGTGCTAATGTGTATATAAATAACTTTAGTTGTAAAAACATAACATTTGTATCTTGTAATAACTTTTTTATTGGACTAACAGAATTTTTTAATGACAAGATTTCAGGAGAACCTCCCTTTCTCAAGAATTCTATGGGTCTTTAATTTTAACAAGGAAGATTAAAATGCTAACTGCAATACACACTGGTAAAATAGGTGATTTTAAGCAGCCTTGTACAATTTAAAACTGTTTTTTTTTTTTTTTGTGTGCGCTGTCCCTAAACTGTATATACTTTGGTCTTTACGGCAGTACCACTTCTTGTTTTGTCGTTTGTATGCATTTTTCTTTTTATATTGTCATTTCCATTGCTGTGTCTCTATCTTTTAGTACCTTCACCTGGTCAACTTCAGCAAAGAGTACACAGTGTGGGTAACTTTCCAATGTCTGCAAGGCCACCTCTGAAAGCAACAGCATATGTCAGTCCAACTGTGCAAGGAAGCAGTGGTATTCCTATGTCAACCAGTTTACAGTGCTTATCAAGCTCTGGCATCCCAATGCCAAACAAGAGTCCAAATACAGTGACTATAGGTCGTAGTGCTCTTCCGAGACCAGCATCATTCTCCAGCAGCAATGGGAGTAGTATACCACGCAGCAAGATCGCACAGTCGCCACGAAGGTAATCCATACTTCATAGTTTATACACTTTTTTTTTAATTCTTTATTTTTGGTGCAGTAAGTTTTACAAATAGGCTTGTGGTGCCACGACAGCAGGCAAAAGCACAGCAATGTTGACATGGTCGTGGTAATATTCAGTTGCACAATTGTTTTTAAAGACCGGATGTATACATATGTTTGTTACAAAAGGAACGTGTACTTCGGCAGTTGGGATATACGTTATCAAAGAGTACAGGAATATGAACTTTGCCTTTACACTAAAAACAGGCTTGGAAACATAGGTAAAATGTGAGTTAGGTTGATAAAGCACATATGCGGGTTGTGTGTGATGCTGCATGTATCCTAATGTATGGCTTAGATGTTTATCCGAGTGGATGGCATCGCTAGCTAGCGTGGCAGGGTAGCCAAGACAGGTCGGGCTAAACCCGCCCAAAGCACTCGAGAGACTTATTTCAGGTTTGGTATGTGCCTGGAAAACCATTAGGCTGATCAGTTGGGTGTAGTAGTGTGTTTGAGCTAGGAGGAGGGAGTGTGTTAAGGGCTCTTCCCTGCTTCCCATTTTACCCCGGGGTTCCCATGCGGCTGCTCCTGCCCTGTGTGCTTATTGCCCCCTATACATTACAGTCAGTAACTTGTCTAATAAAGTGAGATTAACGTAAACTTTTGGTAGCAGCACAGTCCACCTGACTTGCAATATCAAGTCGTCTGTTCCTTGTTGGGATCAGCCGACACCCTGCTGGGGGTGTTTCAGTGTCCCGTAGTTGAGCTAGTAGCTTGACCAGCAGACTGTTCAGGGGTGACGTTAAGTCTGTGTGGTGTGGGTAGGGGAGACTTGGAGAGTGCTGCCTGGGTCCCTTCAGCAGTATCGGTTCCCATCATTGGGTCGAGTGAGGAGTCTGGAGGGTCCTCTCTGCTTGCCAGGGTCGTGGGCTGGATTGTTCGGGGCGTTGATCCCGGCATAGTCCCAGCTTTGTCAGGTTTAGTCGCTTGGGTGTGCAGACTCGCCGGGAGCCCCGTCCGTTCAGGCGTTGCTTCCGGGTTAGCTTTTTAGGTGGGCCGTTGCTGCCACATGTAGGTTTCACGGCAGTGTTGTGGGTGAGCCTCCAGTCGGTCTGTTTACCTCTGCTTGGTGTGCTCTGGCTGCCATTTTCTCCCAGAACGTGGCCAGTACAGCCTCTAGCCTGTCCCCGATGTCCGGTAGTGCTGTGGCCGGATTGCACGTGGCGGCGGCCATTTTGCGGGTCTGCGCCTCGTTTCGCTGCTTGCATGCCTCCGTCGTCAGAGACTCCGCCTGTGTGTGCCTTCTAGGGGTTGGACGGGGATAACCCCCACTGGTCCGGGGGGCTGCAGGGTACTCGTGGGTCCGCGTCTCCAGCTCAGCCTCTCCCAGGCTCTGTCGGCTGCAGGCCACAGCTAGCCATTGTGGGCCCCCCGATCACCAGGATGCTCGAGTAAAATATCAGGTTGATCCCCAGGACCCCCTGTAGTCGGGTATCGGATCCCAGTTGAGAAAGTATTATGATTTTGGCGAGTATTCATGGATAATCGGAGTTGTGTGACGGGAGCTCAGCCTTCGTGCTACTATTTTGCTTGCTGGCTTGGCCCCGCCCCCATAGTTTAAATGTGAAATTCCTGATTTTTTTTATTTTTTTATTTACTTTTTTTTTCTTAAAGGGACACTATAGCCATTAAAACAACATAGTTAGAGATAAATCTCTTTTGCTTCTGTTTATGCAGCTCTAGCCACAGCAACCTGGGCTGTGACTCACAGCCTGCATGAAAAAAAAAATGGTTTCATTTTCAATCAGATGTTAATTTATCTTACAACTTTTTAACTCCTGCTCTGTAAATTTCATTTTTAATCTCCTGCAGGGCCTGGATGGCTATTAACAGAGCAGCAGATAAGAAATTCTAAATTAAACAGACTGTGCTATAAAGGACATTTAAACATTACATGTCTCTTTACAGGAAGTGTTTAGGAAGAATGTGCAAGTTACGTGCAGGGTGGTGTGACTAGAGCTGTGTAAAGTGATTTAACTCCTAAATGGCAGAACATTGAGCAGTGAGACTGCAGGGGCATGTTATACACCAAACGTGCTTCATTAATCTAAAGTTGCATACATAGCTGACTTGAAGAATGTTTACAATTTCGTCATTTTGGCCAATATTTTGAAATACTTTCCTGAAAATGTATACATAACCCTGGCAGTGTTAAAAACATCCATTGAGCATGTTTATATTTAGCTGCATAATCTATGAAAAATACCAGTAAAAAGTAACAGCGGTGATATGTAATAATTAATTTATTTTAATTTTGGCCATGCTGTACTATGTCTTGAGCATGATTTAGTAGATTGTAAGATAACTATGTCCTGGTGAGCAGGGCCGGCGCTTCCTATTAGCACCTACTTACCTGCTGCTTCGGCTGGATCCGGAGTACATTAAGATGTTTTATCCCCCTGACACTCTGGAACCCAATCAATCCTGTAACATACAGCTGCTAGCACCTGCCCATCTTTGGTCCTGCCCTCCTCCTTCTAATTCTTCTTTTAATGCATCGAATTACACTTTTTGTATTTTATCTGTTTTTTAGGACATTTTTATTACTATAACTACCTTAGAATATTCCATATCCCCTTTTTAGGCGCTTCCTTATCCTCTTGCATTTCCATGATTAAAAACAACTTATATATGTTACCTCCGGAGCTCTGTAGAAAAAAATTCTAATAGAAAATCAAAAATCATCATAATACACTGATGTTAGGCTTCACCTTTTCTCCAACTTTTCCGCACAATTGAATCAGACAAAATAGAGGAGATGCAGACAAGACTGTAGAGAGAAGATGTAGAGATGTTTAGGTGGCTTCTTGCGAACAGTGATAGTGTACTCTAGTTAGTAAGACAAGTGTGTCAGACATTTCATTTATGTGGTTTAGTTATTTAATGTAACAGAAAGTTTTGGCTATTATAATATTAGATATTTTTGCTTCTATTTCTCGAATCAATAATGTGTATACAAATTATATTTTCAGTTTATTTTTACGATAGATGTTCAGCATTTAGATTTTTATGATAAATGTTAAGTATTTTTGTTGTTGTTAATTTTATCAAAGTAAACTAACGTACAAATATTTCCCAAACATAAAATGGCACCAACAAAAATTGCAACCCCAACACCTAACCTAACAACAACAAAAAAAATTAAACCAACCTTGGCTTGCAGAAAAACCTAGGTCCAGTGCCTATTTGAAGTGAAAATTGTCAATGTGCTATATCTGGGTATCTTCACAACCATGAGCTTTCTGCAAGTTATATTATCATCATGTAGTAGAGCCGTCAGCCGTACTATCTCATAATTTAGTAAATGAAGATGAAGGTCTCATTCAAAATTTAGCCTCTTAGCTGCACATATTCTATGAAACAACTTTAAAGGGACACTATAGTCACCAGAACAACTACAGCTTATTGAATTTGTTCTGGTGAGTAGAATCATTACCTTCAGGCTTTTTGCTGTAAACACTGTCTTTTCAGAGAAAAAGCAGTGTTTACATTACAGCGTAGTGTTACTTCACTGTCCACTCCTTAGATGGCTGTTAGAGATCCTTCCTAGGTCATGGCTGCCTAAAATGCATCAATTCATTCAGTGTTTCCACCCTCTGCATGCAGACACTGAACTTTCATCATAGAGATTCATTGATACAATACATCTCTGTGAGGAAATGCTGGCCAGGGCTGTGTTTGAATTGTGCTGGCTCTGCCCATGATCTGCCTCCTTGTCCGTCTCAGCCAATCCTATGGGGAAGCACTGTGATTGGATCAGGCTACCACTTCTGATGATGTCCGCAGACTGCTTGTTTTCTGAGTCTAACAGCATGCAGAGTTACAGCTTCAGGTTTGAATACAGTAAGATTTTGCTATACTTATGGAGGCATGAGGGGCCAAGGGGGGCTAGATAGTGGTTTTAACACTATAGGGTCAGGAATACATGTTTGTGTTCCTGACCCTATAGTGATCCTTTAAAGAGGTTTTACACTGTCTTCTAATTAATGAATTTGATTATTTCAGACATACATTGATGGCAATGATATACAATCATGCACAGAGACATGCTATCGCCATACACCCATACCTCCCAAGTATTCCTTTTTAAGGACTGTCCCAATTTCAGGCACAAATCTCTTTTCTATGCTAAATGCCCTTATTATTGTTGATGTGTCTGAGTGTATAACACAGTCACACAGCAATAATACTAATAGTAATGTGTATTTCAACTACAATAAACATGCTTAGAAACCACTCTGCGTAAATAAGATGCATTGTTATTCTAAATTACACTTTTAGTTACACAAAAGTTGTTGGTAAGTCACCTACAATTTCTCAGAACAGCCCGGCCTCTGGCCAAATCTTCACTCACACCTCTAAAATAGAAGTGTCCCTCTTTTTCCATTTGAAATGTTAAAGGACCACTATAGTGCCAGGAAAACATACTCGTTTTCCTGGCACTATAGTGCCCTGAGGGTGCCCCCACCCTCAGGGACCCCCTCCCGCCCGGCTCTGGAAAGGGGAAAGGGGTTAAAACTTACCTTTTTCCAGCGCTGGGCGGGGAGCTCTCCTCCTCCGATCCTCCTCTTCTCCTCCTCCTGGGCTGAATGCGCACGCGCGGCAAGAGCTGCGCGCGCATTCAGCCCGTCGCATAGGAAAGCATTCTCAATGCTTTCCTATGGACGCTTGCGTGCTCTCACTGTGAAAATCTCTGTCAATGAGACAGCCACTAGAGGATTAGGGGGAAGGCTTAACCCATTCATAAACATAGCAGTTTCTATGAAACTGCTATGTTTATAAAAAAAATGGGTTAACCCTAGAAGGACCTGGCACCCAGACCACTTCATTAAGCTGAAGTGGTCTGGGTGCCTAGAGTGGTCCTTTAAGAGGTATGTAGACTAGTGTTGTCAATAGAATGGTCCATATTACAGAGATCACAGACTTTAAACAACTTTAAACATGTCCTGAGTTTAGAAATACCCAACGTCAACATGTGCTAAGCTTTTTTGTGTGCAAGTTATAGGGCTATAAGTACAAGTAGGACATTGCTGTTTCAAAATATATATTTTTAAAATGTGTCAGTAGTGACATAACACTATCTGTCATAAATCTCTGAATCACACCTCACATGTACATATTTTTTTAAAGTAGGCACCTCAGGGTATTCAATATGGGGTATGTCCAGTCTTTTTTAGTAGCCACTTGGTCACAAACACTGGGCAAAGTTAGCATTTATATTTGTTTGTGTGTTAAAAATGCAAAAAACAATTATAAATTCTATCTTTGGCCAGTGTTTGTGACTAAATTGACCCTGTAACTTTCAAAAACACTATAAAACCTGTACATGGGGGTACTGTTATACTCGGAAGCATTTGCTGAACACAAATATTAATGTTTCAAAGCAGTAAAACATATCACATTAATGATATGTTCAGTGAAAGTGACGTTTGTGTGTGAAAAATGCAAAAAAAATCACTTTTACTGACTATCATCACTGTGATATGTTTAACTGTTTTGAAATACTAATATTTGTGTTCAGCGAAGTCTCCCGAGTAAAACAGTACCCTCCCATGTACATGTTTTAGGGTGTCTTGGAACGTTACAGGGTTAAATATAGTGCTAGCAAATTAAATTCTCTGGACTTTCGTTGTCAGGCAAGTCCCCCAAATTGCAATCAATAAAATTACTTAATTATGTAAAATATATATGCATGTAGAATTTAAATATATACATATTTATATATTTGAAGTCTACATGTATATTTATGAAATTATTTATGTAATGATGTGTATGAACATATGTATATTTCATATTATTTTTATTTATATATACATCAATATATATATAATTTCATTCTAACTGTATTTTGATATAAATATATATATATATATCTCAAAATACAGTTAGAATAAAATTACATATATAAAAAAATTTTTTAATTAATTTATTTTTTATAATATAATATACAGTATATATAGTAATTGTATATAGTATATATTTGTGTAATTTTACTCTGTGTATTTTTATATTAATATGTATATATTAATAAAAAAATACACTTAGTAAGACATTATATATAAGATATATACATATATATAATATATGTGTGTGTGTGTTATTTTTTTATTTTATTTTTTTCAACAGCAGGGGGGCTGCCTGTTCAGGCAGTCCCCCTGCAGGCAGTCTCATGGCCCGTGGGGTCCTAATTTGCCAAGGGGGGACTGTCTGGGCTGTCACAGCACCCCCCCAGATGGAGAGAAACACCGTTCGCCAGTGGGGGAATGGCGGCGATCGTGTAGGTAAGTAGGAATTCTGCAAACTGGGTATACAATTCTGTACTGGGTATGTCCGAGGTCCTTAAGGACCGTTTTTGTCGGACGTACCTAGTTCGTCCGAGGTCGGTTAGAAGTTAAAGTGCAACAAGTGTACAGATCTGTGTTTAGTGCAATAGTTCAACAAGTTACTTAACTGGTTTTGACGAAAATTTGTAGTAAACCAGCAAGTATACCTTAAACAGAAAAATAGTAGACAATAGTGTAAAACCTTATTATATAATTTTAGGTGCAAAATCTTATATGGAACACTCACATGGTCCAGAGCTAATTCACCTAGCTCTGGTGTGTATAGTGTAATATTGCTTTAAGAGAGAAACGTATGAGTATTAATAGTTTTACTCACAAACATGGAGCCTAAATACTGACTCCGCATTGTAACTTTGTATGGTTGAGGACCACACAACCTTCTTTTATAAGTGCGGGTACCTTGGTAATGGTATTAAAAAAAAAAAATTAAAAAAAAAAAAGTATTACTTTATTATATTTATAAAAACAACAAAGATAGTGCAATATTATAAAATATACCAATGTTCTAAAGTCTTTTATCCTCTAGCAACAGCTCCGACACAAAATGGTGCTTCACATAAGTTCACAGAATGGAATGTGTGATGAAGTGCCCTTCGCCACTTGGTCCTGGAGAGGCCTACTTGCCAGCCTCCTCCCCTGTGACTGACTCTTTCATGTATCTGGCTTTAAAGCCCCTAGTCTACCTTCAGACAGACTATTTATGTAGGCTGCTTTATTTATCTTATGTTTTAGTCACCCTGTACCCATTATAGGTGCAGGGTGTGTGTAATGTAATTGTTTATAGTGTGTGTGTGTACTGTGTAATGTATTGCCTGCTCTCTTGTATTGCTGAGGTTTGCTACCAACTAGGTGGGTTTGGCTATGGAGCTTGTCTAGTGCCCTCTGTTGGTAGCAACAGCAATATGCACTACCTGAATTGCAAGACTGGTTCATTTGCATATTCGGGTAGATTTGCATATTGCTAATTCTGCAGGCAGGTGAGATATTTACTGTTAAATATTGTCTCCCCCCACCCCTTTAAAAATGTGCCATTGTGTTGTGATAAGTCACTGTGTGTTGCTTGATATGGTTTGACTGTTTGTGATTTTATTGAGGTTTCACAACAATGTTATTGTGGTGACCCTATTGGCTGGTCCCAAGGGAAATAAAGGTTTTGACAGTTCTTCTTGATCCCTCTAAACGTAGCCTTGTCTCGTTATTGGAGGGAGCTGTTATAATCACACTGGGGATTGCTATGCTCTGCATGCTCCCCTGAGCTTGAGTCACTTAGCTCTTTTAAGAGCTTGTTCCTGACATGCTCTCCTTGGAGGAGGGGTCTTCACCACACAGTCCTGGAGGACAGAAGCTGATCCAGGGTGGAAGGAAGACGGCGAGACTCCAGTCAAGATACGGCAGTTGCGGAGTCTGCGGTGTCTGCTGCAGTGCTTGGAGTCCTCAGGAAGCGCTAGGAGCATTCGTTAACGGAGGGTACTTGGTCGGAGTACAGGGAGCTCCGTTACAGAATGGATCAGTGATAATTTTTATCAATACCCATAATTTTGGAATGAAATGTTTGATGAGTAGGTACATAATGCATATGGCTGCATAGTGCATCGCTCAAAATTTTCTCTCACTCTCTTACAATTGGCAAGAGCTGCATAGCTCAATTTGACACTGGGTGCAGCTGGAGCTCAGGCAGCCTCAGGAACAAAGCTACTGCTGGAATAGGGAGCATGCAGACCATTGCACCATTGTAATGTCCATCAAAATGGACGCTCACAAGCAACAGCAATTAGTGGGAGTGTGAGCCTAGTGCTCAAATATATATGTTTAACTGACTTCGTATTATACTGCTCTGTTTCAGTGCAGCATCCTACTTCTCGTGTTTAAAATGTTTACGTTAACTAATTTGTGGTGTTTTATAATAAAACCCACTTCATAATTTTTCCTTTGATGGTGATGGGTTGACGGTGGGTAAATTGAACTACTATTTCCTGGTAGATATTGACCTGCTCTTGAATATTAACGATTCTCCTCCGATGCATTGGATAAGGGAATAGAAGGAGGACCATGTGACATGGCAGCCCTATGTATAGGGTTTTGCAGAAGCTCGTATTTTATTATTTTGCAGCAATCTTACAACTCATGGAAGGTTCTGAAGTATCTGTCCCCGTGTCAGGGTTTATTTCAGATTGATTCACATTTACTGCAATTAATTGTTCAATGGGATCTTGTGCAAGAAACTTATAGACCCGGCTAGCAGGCTAAGGGACTCAAAAATTAATTTGTAATATGTTGTACTGTTGCTTCTTCTTAGTTATTTACACAAATCTGAATTGTAGAAAATAAAAATTCAAATAGCAAAATTTAGGTAAAATATCTGATATGGAAACAAATCCAATTCTTATAGTTGTTGCTTTGTTGTTTGAGCCTAAAGTTTACTAAAAATGTTTAAATTTGCTACAATTTAGTTTTTAGTTTATAAACCCCACTTGCTGGCTGAATGCAGTATTTTTCAGCATACTAGGAGGGACCATTCTCTTTGGAATTAGACTACATGTGTAATAAAAGAAGAAAACCGTGCAAAATTTAAAATTGTCTGCCATGATTAGTTTAAAAATAAAATATATATATAAAATAATCTTATGTTTTTGCATCATTGTGCCATCATAGTATACAACATAATGAGTGAGAAAAAATAGATTTTTTTTAATAGTCTCATACTCTCTCTTTTCAGTTTTCTTCAGCCTCCGAAGACTCTGTCGTCCCTTAGCACTCTGAGAGATGGCAACTGGAGGGATGGATGCTACTGACATTTTCCTTCAAAATGTTTGTTTTTATTCAAATGATAAACCAGTGTATAAAATGAAAGCAATTAAGAGTGATGTATAGCCCAGCTGGCTGGGTAATGTGCATTCAAAAAAAGTCATCCTTAAGTTTTTAATATTTGTAATATATGTCTTATTTGAGCATACGATAAAAGACTTATGGTCTTTATGTAGTTCTTACCTGTTTTGACGTGGAATCATTTTTTCAGACCAATAACTGCAGTTATATATTACAGGCTAGTATTTTCTGAACATATGCAAAGGTGCATCAAAAAGCACTTTTTCTTTTCTCGTTAAAATGCAGTGCAGAAAATCTCCAATTTTTTGTCTTATGGTGCATTAATTATAACATACCTATTCACTTGCTAGACTATTTATTAGAATAGACATTGTTATATGCACAAGCTCACTAACAAAATGTAAATTTTTTTCTTTTATTTTACATCTAGAATAAGTAAACACATTTTAAAATGCTGCTTAATAATTTGTGCCATAGATAATATTTTATTTATTTAGTTTTTTTTTTTTTTTTTTATCACTTCCATTTTGGTATGTGTGAGAGTCAATGGTAATCTACGTAAGGTGTACTTTTTGTTGCAAAAAGCACAAGGGTATAAGGACTAATCACTGAAATGTTCAGCAGAACCACCTTAAAACTCGTTTTGTCATTTTCTTATATTTACATGTTAATTTATTTGTTTATTTAATGATTTTGTACCTAATAATAATGACTTACTCTGCAGAGATACTGCTTAAAACTACAAGAGGGCTGAGGTGTCACATTTTTTCAAATTTTTACAACAGTTTTACTTGGTGTTGAAACACTGAAGATAAAAGGTCTTATTGGACAATAAACTTTTGATAGGCATTTTACAGAAATTTAATTGCACTAATGCTTTAATAAGACAGTATATGATTTCGTACCGATGGTAACTGTATACTGCTGTTTTGGAATGTTTCAATAATAAAGAATATTTTCATCATTTCTTGTTTTGTATTTAAAGGGGTTATTTTAATTTAAATGAACAATGAACTGAATTGGTCATCATTGTGTGTAAATATTTTTATATTAAAGCTGCACAATGTTGAACAGCTGTTAATAGAGATTTTTTTTTTTTTTTATCAAAAAGATGCAACCGAGCAATCGGGTTAGTTTATAAAAGTGCCAATTTCTCTTAAAGTCAGCACTCTTTGCAAATTGAAAAAAACAGGATACACTTTTCACACATAAAGGGCTTCAACAAGCTAAAGTGCTTTAGATGTCTGGAGTTAATCTTTAAGCATTTAAGGCTTTCCTTGCAGTGATGGCATATCTGCCAAGTTTAGCAATTAAGAGAGGGAACCAGCAGACGGAATGGACCCCTGATGCAATTACCACCACTGATGGTGTGCCTGCCCATAAAAGGGGGAATGTCAACCCAATGTGCACACATGACAGGATGACTGGCTTCTTTGACAAAGTAGCCAATCAGAGCGGTCTCTATGCTGAATGCTTACGACTTATGGACTGAAATGCCCTGTAAGTTATCACAAGAAGGGACCACTAAGGGACAGGGGGAGTGAAAGAGGTCATTAAGAGATGGGGAGGGGGACGGTAAGACACACAGAGAGGCTGAGGAAGGGGTGAAAGAGAAGCACAGAGGGGCCTTGGGGAAAAAGAGACACACAAAGGAGCTAGGAAGAGTAAGACAAGGGGCTTGGGGTGTAAGGCATGCAAAGGGATTGGGAGGATGTAGGAGACATACAAAAGTGGGGCGTAAGACACAAAACAAAATATACAAAAAAATTAGATTAATAAAATAAAAATAAAGAGCTGCTCCCCTCTCAGCCTCTATCCTGCCCCACAAACCCTCTCTTTCACACTATACACATACACAATGCATCCTTACACATACACAGAAACACACAATGCATCCCTACACACACACACGCAGAGAAACACACTGCATCCCTACTCGCACACACACACCGACACATACAATGCATCCTACACTCACACAGAAATACACAATGCATCCCTTTCACACATACACAGAAGCACACAATGCATACCTCACACACACACTGCATCCCTTGCATACAAAAACACACAATGCGCATCCCGCACGCACGCACACACACTGCTTCTCTTACACATACACAGAAACACAATGCATCTCTTACACACACTCAATGCACCCCTTACAGACACACACTAAATTATATACACAGAAACACACCTTGCATCCCTTACACATACAAACACAAAATCACACACTGCATCCCTTACACAAACTGTTATCCCTATACATTAGAACACACATACATTACATCCTCTTTAATAACACATAACCCATCCCCTACACACATACACTCCACTCCCTGTGAGTGAACTCACGGGTGGGCCATGTAGGTGGACTTATGGACGGGCCTTGTAGGCATACTCACGGTCAGGCCCCCAAAAATGGAGATGCTTGGTCTGTGCGTTGGGTGTGGAGGACTTCGTTTGGTGTGCCCTGTTCAGAGCTGGAACAGGCTTAATCATGCCTTTAGTCGCTAGGCCATGGAGGAGCTCATCCATGGTACGTCTGTATTCCATGGCGGTCAGGCCCCGCCCCCCCCATCAGGACTTTTTAAAGTAAATAAATGATAATTTATTCCAGGTAAAGGTATTGCATCAAATCCGACCAACGTTTCGACCTGTTTGGGTCTTTCTCAAGAATCTTGGCCACCTCTATATGAACAATAAACAAGTGGTGCAACAGATTAATTTGATTAGGCAGCTTCACACCTTAGTGGTGTACCCTCATACCAACAGCATGCATCAAACCCTTGTCCTTGTGATTTAAACATAACACAGTGGAGCACCAATAATATATACCTTTTGTTCGTCAAAAGATGTTGCTTGTCAAGATAATCCACATGAAAAATAGCAAATATACAATAGTAAAGTATTGTTAAGGAAATAATCAATTTTAGTATGGCAATAAAAGTAACAGAATTCGTATCATTCTAAGACAGGAACTCCTATAGATATGTCATGAAAATAGAGTTTGTTCCTTTTATATCATACTAAAATTGATTATATGCCTTAACAATACACTATTGTATATTTTTTTTATGTGGGATTGATATCTTGACAAGCAACATCTTTTGATGAACAAAGGCATATAATTTTGGCGCTCCACTGTGTTATATTTATATCAATTGTGACTATACCCGAGTTGGAAGATGCTTCCAAATTTTGCCTCAATTTAGTAATTTGGATTTCAATTTACTACTGACGTTTAGTGATTACCCTTCGGTCAGAGTTATTCTCTAAAGTGAGAATTAAAGTTAATTTCAAATATTAGGCCAAAGTAGCTTACAGGATATTTCCAATTAAGCTATAATGTCCATAAATCAGAAATTTCCTTTGAATTCAAACTTTTGTGAACGACCCTGTGTGTCTGTCACTTCAGACTGTCAATTTCTCTTAAAGGGCTCAAACAAATGATGGTTAATTTTAGTGAAATAAAAAAAATTGTAATATAAGAATTGATGAGTTGTAAAAATACTACTGCTAAAGTTACAGCTTGACCACCAATTACATTTTTATTAAACATTCACTAATTAGTGAATAAAGCCTAAAAATAAAAAGTATCAAAATCAGGAAGTTCTCCTTTCTTTTACTTTGGATAAGAAATTGATCAAACAAAAAGTATTCAAAATAAATTAATAGATTTAAAAAAAACAAAACAAGGGTTTTCCTGGTGTTTCAGCGTTTTCCAATATATTGCGCACAAAGGATATTATTGCCAACATTGAGTGGTAAAGACTAACCTAGGGGAAAAGAGTGAGTATCATGGGAAATGTAGTTCACATACATCTTCAGTGCCAGGGTTAGCAGTCACTGCCACAGTGGTGTAATATCAAAAGCTATATTTGAGAAACCTTATCAAAGATCTGCTTTCCTACAGATGCTTGCCTTACTGTTTTTTCCCTTTATTTATTTATCTTGGCCTTTTTTTGAAAGGCTTGGTTCAATCATCACATCTGCCAAGCAGCTTGAAAAAACATCTCTTGAGTACTTTGAGTTTTTGAAACTTTCTTTAAGTTGATATTATTTGGATCTTTCAAGAACAGCAGGTAAGCTTCAAAGCTTGAGAAGACTTAAAAAACACATTTTCCCTGCTCAGAATTTTACCCTAGGAATTACACAAAACTACTGCAAAGCACAGGTCAATTTTGTGTTATTTGGCCAGTGTGCTCTCTGAGAAATTCCCTGTATAAGTTTTTGGTTTTGAGTAAGAAAGCCCAAGGCTATCTTTTGGACTTCCGATCTAATTAAGCAATGCAAAGTTTTAAGCCTTAAGGCTAAGCCATGGGCTCTGTGAAATAATGATAGTTTAGATAGTGTTCCTCTTTCATATATATTGATTCCAAGGTTTAACTGCATATCAATGAGGATTGCCTTTCAAGTGCCAGAGTTTGCAATCTTCTAAGTTAGCAATCTTGCATTGACCCTGGACCATACAGTCCTAGTAAACTATGCCAACAAATTCAAAAGTGCCCGTACTGTAATATACTGGGATGAGAATTGTATAACTGGGAGAAGATCATATATTAACCAGCTTATACTGGGTCAAGAACACTCTTTTAACCCCTTAAGGACCAAACTTCCTGAATAAAAGGGAATCATGACGTCACACATGTCATGTGCCCTTAAGGGGTTAAAGAAATACATGGGGGATTTTAAGATGCATATTTTTGTTTACACCATACGGATCTTCTGGCATGATCAGAAATGGAAAAACTGTCACTTTGCAAATTTTATAAATAATTTTTTTTGTTCCACCGCTAAGAAAAAGGTTAGGATGTAGGTAGAAACCCCCCTGTACAATGGCATGAGCACTTCCCTCTTTCTACTGTTAATACCTCTCCCTATACAACCAAGCATTCTGCTAGCATTTCCTGCTGCTCTATTACATTGTCTGCCTACCTTTAAGTCAACAGAAATAATCACCCCTAAATCCCTTTCCTCAGATGTTGAGGTTAGGACTCAATTAAATATTCTGTACTCTGCCCTTGGGTTTTTATGTCCAAGATGCATTATCTTATCCACATTAAATGTCAGTTGCCACAATTCTGACCATTTTTCTAGTTTAGCTAAATCATTTGCCATTTGGCTTATCCCTCCTGGAACATCAACCCTGTTACATATCTTTGTGTCATCAGAAAAAAGACATACCTTACCATCAAGACCTTCTGCAATAGGTCCAAGTACAGATCCCCGAGGTACTCCACTGGTAACAAGGCCTTGATTTGAATATACTCCATTGACTACAACCCTCTGTTGCCTGTCATTCAGCCACTGCCTTACCATTCAACAATATTGAAATCCAAACTTAAAGATTGTAGTTTATTGGGAGTGCTCCTAATCTCAGCTCATTAACTGTATAAAAGACACCCGTCTACAGAAGCAATGAATCAATCAATCAGATTCCAAACTCTCCACCATGGCCAAGACCAAAGAGCTGTCCAAGGATGTCAGGGACAAGATTGTAGACCTACACAAGGCTGGAATGGGCTTCAAGACCATAGCCAAGCAGCTTGGTGAGAAAATTACAACAGTTGGTGCATTTTTTTGAAAAAATGGAAGAAACACAAAATTACTGTCAGTCTCTCTCAGTCTGGTGCTCCATGCAAGATCTCACCTCGTGGAGTTTCAATGATCATGAGTTTTTGGGACCTCACGGTGAGGTATCAGCCCAGAACTACACTGGAGGATCTTGTTAATGATCTCAAGGCAGCTGGGACTATAGTCACCATTGAAAACACACTACGCTGTGAAGGACTGAAATCCTGCAGCGCCCACAAGGTCTCCCTGCTCAAGAAAGCACACGTACAGGCCCGTCTGAAGTTTGCCAATGAACATCTAAATGATTCAGAGGAGAGCTGGGTAAAAGTGTTGTGGTCAGATGAGACCAAAATCGAGCTCTTTGGCATCAACTCGCTGTGTTTGGAGGAGGAATGC